TTTTTCAGCTCGTTCTGTGGCCATGCTGTGTAAATGAACGTAATAACCATTAAGAAAGAGGTCGTCTTCGAAAAGCTCACAAGAACTTGTTAATATCCTAACAAAGACGATATCATTTGGAGAAGATGGCAAGTTGATATATTGAAATATACATATGAGTTTCATGGTATGAAATTCAGTTTTTCTTTGTAGAATTTTATAAACAATTCTGTCTTGTCGAAGCAAGGAACATCCCTGCGGCACCTCTCATAGTGCAGCGAACGCGCAGTTGTTTTCAACTGTTTTGCACCAATTTACAGCTGAATAAAATTAAATTCAACGATAGATTTGTTCCAATATTTAGAACAAGCGGTAGCTCATCTTCTTCAAAATACGAATCTGATTGTTAAAAAATGTGAGTATTTGACCACATGAGCCCTTTCAAAAAACCTTCCGTCAATCATGATTCCTGAACGCTATGTCATGTTAAAACTGTCAGTGTACCAAGTATTCGCTCTCGCCACAAGGAACAAGTAGAAGGGGCCTTAAAGTGGACACCTCCGCTCAGTAATCGCTGAAATCTTTGTGGTCTCTACCAGGCAGGAATTGGGCTTTGTTTCGTTTTTGTTTGCGCTTCTTCCAACGACATGGCCCGTGCACTTGTACAACTGATGCGCTTGTTTCAGACTATTGTTGACGCGTGTAAATGTACATGGTCTTGCACCATGAAGAGACGGTCTAGGCACCCCACACTAAGCTTCTAATCGTGAGGCTGATTCGCACCATTAGTTCAAAAGATTCCTTTAATTCATTTCTCTCTACAAAAAAAAGAAAAAGAACCTCTGTAACCAGCAATTTACTAAGTTCCGCGAATACCATGCACAACTAAAAAGAAAGGCCGTGACCATCTGAATAAAACCTTGTCCAAGATCGAGTAATGTTCGAGTTTTCACGTTTTATCCAAAGCAGCTATCAAATACTTTATATTTGTTTCTGTAATTCGACACGTGAACAAGGGATCTTAGCTTACGAATACTTAGACTAACAAGGATTAGAAACTCTTGACAACCAATGTTGTTTTTCCCAACGGGTTTGCGCTCATGGTAACTGCTAAGCGGTAAGTTCTGTTGTGTTTCTGTAGTAAGATTGATTGTCCAAACCACTAAGAGAATCTCGATGTATTGTTTGAGCTAAATTTTTCGCATTCGTTATCGTCTGAAAACAATAAAGCAAAAGGCGAAGAAACGAAAGGGGGTTTCAGAATTAAAACGAAGCCGACATGTGAGAGAATATGGTAATCGTGGACAAAAACGATAAATCAACCAAGAAAATGTCATCAAAGATAGCATCGTCTCAGATCTTTCTTATACTCGTAGTTCAACCAGTGATTATGGGTTTGTTCCACAGTAAACACCTTGATTACTCAAGATAAAAGATTCTTGACAACCAGGTTTGTTATTTTCCCAACGGGTTTGTGTTCATGGCAACTGCAAAGCAGTGGGTCGTGAGGTGTTGTCCTGGAAAGAGACAAAGAACATCGATTGGTGGCCAAAACACAAGACATCATTGACCTTTTGTTTCCACTGTTGACGTATTTCACACATGAAAGACTGATCGCTTGCTCAAAATTTTCCTTTGGATTTATTGAGACGACATCGTTCCAGGCAACAAGAAGTGCCAATTTAAAGCGCGTTTCAAAGTGCGTGCAAGATAAGGGACAAATCCGCTCATGAAAAATGGAGGGATTTTGGAAATATATGGGTAAATACAATTTTGTATAGCCGTTACCTCCCTTTTGATCAATTTACCTCACATTTTCCAGTAACAAAAATCCGACTTGCTTTTAGTGTTGGGAATCGTGACAAGCTTGGCGACTTGCGTCAGTGGAATCCACAATCCCTGTCCCGCAGCGAACGAGGCAAGTTTGAACAAAAAAACTGTATCTTTACTAAAAGTACTTTCAATGTTTACTTTTCTAATAAGTCTGCTTCGAAATGGTCCGAGATCTGGTGATGAAATCATCTTCAGCTTAGTCACATTGAGAGTGAAACCTTAGCAGGTGCACTTAAAAGTACGGGATGCTGAGAAGAATGATCTCTTAGTCTCATGAAAAAACCAAAATCAACCGCCACATTACTTGTACTTCGGTTAGGTGTGAACGATTCATGGTTGTTCTTCGGCATTTGGTGTAACTTAGTCATCTAACAGTCTACTAGTAACTCGAGCTCGGAGAGAAGTAAAATCCTTCAATCTCGACATATTTAAAGTAATGGCAACATACGCTTTTTTTCAATTGCTCCGACGATGGTCGGCACACTCAACAGTTATTTTTTTATTCTCGGCGGAGTCGGTCTATCTGCCTTTACTGATTTATAGCGGATATCAACCTGCTAGATTTACTTGCCCGCTAAGCAGCCACATATATCTCTCAAAAAGGCGATGACCACCTTATTTGCTGCCTGGCCCGGTTAGGTCTGATTTCAGACAAGTACGACTTCAATCTTGAGCAAAACTAATGCGGCGTCTTGCATAATTTTGATTCCTTTTCGGGTTCCATTGTATTTTATTTGCTGCACGCTTCGCGACACAGATCGCGATTATTTGAAGTAAACATTTGTTTGCCAATGTATTTAACAGATGGAAAAAACAGTTGAATAAAATGTAGGTAAGTAATAAAAAGAAAAGGAAGATATTTTTCTAGTAAGGAATATGAAGTCAACATTACCACTCGATGTTCGGAAAACAAGTGCATGCATGTTGATTAAAAATTTCGCCCGTGAATAGTCATGCAGATTTATCTTCGAAGTTGTCACTTAATAAAACTTAGTCTTTATTTACCGTGGAATCCAGTTTGCTAAATTTGCGAATCCTTGAAATATTTAGAAGAACATATTTTCAAAGTAAATCTACGAAACCAGACAGTTTTGGAAAGCGGATAATCATTTCACTTTGGTTTTCGATTCAAAGCGTCATGAAAACAGCGTACAAATACAATAATGCTTCAACTTTACCGTAAGATTAATTTAAGTTTTATTTTGCTACAAAATTATCCACTAGCTGAAGTTATCCTAATTTTGTTCACTATGAAAACAGTGTTTGGATTCCGTAAAAATAACATTGAAATTAGTTGCTGTCTCGGCAACGCAGCTGCGGGGACGGCTTAGTTAAAAATTAAAATCGATTGCTTTCGTCATTATTTCTCACTAGGTCTTATATCAAGCTGTCCTTACAAAACCAGGAAGAGCTAGATAGTTTATAACTACGAGTTATGATTTAGAAATAGAAACGAGAAAGTTAGAAACAAGCGCCGTTTATGGCAGACGTAGAAGTACAAAATTTCACGAATGCTATTTCGACATCATGCACGTTACAGGTATTAGCCAATCAGAGAGCAGCTTCCTTGACGGGCATCGAAGTGATTGATTGTTTAGTTCGTGATTTTATTTGCTGAACGTGGACTGCTTGTTCTTAGAACCGCCCAGAAACTTATCAGTTACTCCTACGCATTCAAAGTGATTTCAGGTCTTTGTCACTGCCCGGCTTAAGTCTCCAACGTGTTGTATATGTGTAAAAAAACAATATTTTCGCGTTAGAAATAGGCCAAACCGAAGACGCTAAATTTGCATGTTACAAAACAATGTTTTGCATATTACCATATTACATAGCGCTGCATAATTATTAAGTAACGAAAGGTTTCAGTGGGTTTTTGTCGTCGTTAAGAAGGCGGCGAAGTCAATATTCACTTGAATGTGGTAATTAAACATAACATTTATCGCACACTGAAATATCCGGTGCGCTAGACTATTTTTCACTGATGATTTGGTTTTGTCGCTTAAGTTCATTTTGTGAATTGTTCACCCTAAAAAAATTTTAAATCCGACGTTTTGAGAGTGATTCACTCGACGAAGGACTAATGTTCGAAACTTCAGTTGATAAAACCTGAAATTATCTTGCGGCATCAATTCTCCACACGGACACAGTGCCACAGTTTCTTCAGGGACTTTATCATTCATTTATTTATCCTTCTTCAATGAGATGATCAGCCCGGCCAACGGTAAGCTGTGCTCTAAAAACTACAAGGAATGAATTACCCGACAGATTTTTTAGCAAAAAAACCTTCAAAATTTACACCACACCCGAAGTATTTCAAGCAAAGAGAAAACTGGTCCCAGTTCCGGCAGAAGTATTGGAGATGACATTTACGAAAACAATCGGTTTTTATTTCATTCATCATCTATTCGGTACAATCACGAGCTCACAGTACAACCCACTCACGATGCCATGTAGAAATATATGCCTTATTTGTCTTGGTCTTAATTATCAATCTACAAGAATTCTCCCTTCACTCTGATCCACCATTTAAAAATTTCACCGTTTACAAAATCCACCTTTCACCGCTTGCTGTTTTACAAATCCAAACCAATCCATCATGATAATTTACAGCTTACTCGAGGCCTACTATACACTGTACAATTGTTTGTTTGTGAGTTCAGCTCGAAAGTGTAACAGCTTGACTGATTTAAGTTCCTCGCAAGTCAACAACAAAACCAGTATAGAAACTCGAGGTAAAACAACTCGTTGTAAAGGCATTATGACGATTAGCATGTGAAAATTAAATTTTCTCATATTTTGTATCTGCTAAAAAACATTATTAAAAGACAATGATCAGGGCGTACTTGTCGGAAAGTTCGATAAATAGGAAAAATGTTACTGCATAATTCTTCGTTTCCCGAGCCTCCAAGGAGAAATGGGGGACTCTGGGGACGAGGAGAGCCTGCGGCCCAGGCTCTTAGCGACGAATGTCCCAAATAAAAATGGTGTTATTTTCGTTCAAAGTGTTCCGTGGAAGGAAATGTTATTTGTTTTATCAATTAATCGTAGTATCTATATCTGAAATCCTTGAAGACTTTGATAAGAATGAATGGAATATTTGAAAACTGCCAGAACTTTGAGAGAAAAAATTGGTTCTTTTGCGAGGCTAATCCTGATACTCTTCATGAAGAAGAATATGTACATGTGTATATATATATATTTCCTAACTGTCATGTTTTTCCTTTACTTTACAGACTTACTGTGATGCAACAGATTCCTGCCAAGGAGTGAATGAAACGTGGTACGTTGATTGGTTCTTGTAAATCAAGTGACTTATACTTTTTACTTACTTTAGACTCACGATCAAATATAAGTTACATGTGTAAAACTCGGGTAGGCATTTGAAAATAATAACTGTATGCGAAGTGCTTGTGAAAGTGAATTGTGTTTACCTTTAGTGGTGACTTTTAAACTTAGTTGAAAGCTTCAGACTATCTAATATTCTTAAATACCAAACGCCTCTGTAGAATGTATAAAGTTCGTCTTCTCTTGGCTAACTATGCTCACGTTATTACTTGAAGAATACCCCATTCTTTCTCGGTGTAAGGTGAAGAACACCCTTTGTTTCTTTAAAATTAAAAGTTATATTGATAAAATCAAGACAACGTCGCCAAGACTCAAATTGTACATTACAGTTTTGCATGAAGTGTTCTACTTTTGAGGTTGATGTACATGCAGCAAGGATGAAATATTTATTGGCAAAGTAAAGATAAATTGCATCAAATCCCTTATGATACCTGGCCAGCTAATTTTTGCCTTTTGGGTATAGGATCATGAACATAAATTTGTGTGCTCCTTTGTGATATTAACTGGCTTGGCAAAGATGTAAAATGGCACTTGAATATTTGTTTAAGTGTAAATGGGAATGAAGTGTTGGTCAGTGTTTGATTAATTGAAAGAATAACACTTCACCCCTACGAATGATAAGCATCTAATTTCTCGTTACAACATCACCCCTGAATCAAACATTGAAGTCACGAGAATAAAGGAGATAATCACCAATTTAAGAAGCTCCTGATTGTTAAACAAATTCTCCTTGTCAGCACCTTATGAAATGTTTAGAGAATATTATAGAGAATATGCATATTGATATTAGGGTGTAAAGGGTTAAGTTTTTGATTAAGATGGACAGTAGGTTCCACAGGAATTGCTAATCCAGTAATTCTGTTTTATTTCAGTTTTGACTGTTGCCGTCATGTGAATAATCACTGTGAAACTGTTGAACTATTTGGAAAGATCTGCGAGCGCTTACCTCGCATCTGCTCTGAATTAGGACATGAATTGCCAAAACGCATTGTTAGTAGTGAAGCTCCTATGTCCAGTCATCATGCACATCCTTCGCTTACTCACTCAATCACAGTCACTGTGGGACCAAGTGGTGTGAATATCTCATCTGCTCCAGTGCACATGCATAATGCTACTGCTTCTCACTCTGGAAGTATTCATGCTTCTATGGGAGCTTCTATGAATGGTTCCATAGTAGCTGCTAGTATGAATGTCTCTGAAGTTGTCTCTGCGATTTCCTCTCAAATAGCAAGTCTGAATGCTTCTCAAGGAGAGAGCCTGAGTGCTTCTCAAGTAGCAACTGTAATTTCCTCTCTGGTTGCCTCCCAAGCAGCAAGTCTGTCTTCTTCTGAAGCGGCGAGTATATTTTCCTCTCAGATAGCTAGTCTGAGTGCTTCTCAAGTAGCAACTGTAATTTCCTCTCTGGTTGCCTCCCAAGCAGCAAGTCTGTCTTCCTCTGAAGCAGCGAGTATATTTTCCTCTCAGAATGCTAGTCTGGTTTCTTCTCAAGGAGTGAGTCTGGCTAGCTCTCAAGCAGTGAGTATAATTTCCTCTGAAAACGCAGGCGCAAGTCTCAATGCCTCCCATGCCACCATGTCATGGTCTGCGGTACAGACTTCAGCTTTTGGCACCATGGTTGCCTCAATCAATCCAAGTTCACTCAGCCATTTTCCCTCAAGCAGTCCTGCAGTAGTTGGTCCACCATGGTGGTCAAGCTATAACCTAAGTGAATCCATGGAGAGTTGGCTCAGTTTTATTAAGAACAACAGCATGTGTGGCCATGGTAAGAAATTCTGTGGATTAAATCTTCAATGTATTCCTGAAGATCAGCCATGCACTGTTTATCTCTCTAATGATGCAGTGAAAAACTTGAGTAACACAGCTTGGTGTGTTAATTGTTCATCAGAAGAATATTTCTGTCCATTGTTCATGCAGTGTATCAATGTTAATGAAAGCTGTTCTTACGAGAATGTGGATAAATGGATCAATTCTAATGCCAGTATGGGGCTAACTGATTTGGCCTGTGGGGAGAACAAGACATTCTCTTTCGCAACTATGGAGTGTATTCCGGCGAATTATCACCATCATGGACATGAATGTGGACATGGTGAAGTGTTCTGTCCTTATAGTGCATCCTGCAAGAATAAAACTGACTGTGCTCCTTTCCGAGAACTGAATTACACTGAAGCTCTCAAGAATGATTCTTTTGGTAAGGATGATAATATATTTTGAACCCCATTGGTTGTCAGGTTTTAAACTCCAATTTAATTCAGGAATGAGAAAAATCATTAGGCAACCATTCATCAACAAATTTAGAAAAGAACTGGGAAATACATAGATTATAACTGGGGAAACAAAATGGGAGCCTCAAAATTTAATTATCTTTTGATGGAAGTGATTACCTCTTTACTTTCTCATTCATTGTACTTTTCAACTTTTATCAAGGCGGCTTTTTCATGAAACCAGTAACTCTTGAGAATTTACCTTTTATCCTTGACAACCTAACATCAGTATCCATATTCTTGATACTCTTCTCCATACAATTCCTTGGGTGCTGACAGGGAGAATTTGATGAGCAATCAAAGTTTCTTAAGTTGGAGATCATTTCCTAAATATTTGCATGATCCTTGAAAAAAATGATCCAGCAGTATTAATATGAGGAGAAATTACAAATGCTGGTCATTCTAAGGGTTTAATGGGTTGGTGAGAGAGGCAAGTCAGTTTTCATGCTCATGTGTTGGTCAACTGACTACTGTCCTGTAAAGGAAGTAATGTTGATGGTCTAAGAATGTAAAAGATAGGGCAGAATAAGTTTCTGTTCCTAGTACATTGAAGAAAAAAAAAGCATAATAGGGACCAGTTTACACATGCAAACTTCTATGGAGCTGACATTTCATTTCCATTTACGTGGGCAAGAACCTGTCTAGATTTGCTAGACGTCATGGAAAATGCACTAAATATTTAGGAGACTGTTTTGAAAATATTGAAGTATACAGAATTGTCTGATACCTTCTTTTCCCCTTTAGGCTGGGTTCGAATGTGCCAAATCAGAAATCTGGTTTGTCCAAGGGTTGCTGTTGCTTTGGAGGATTGTGACCATGACAAGAAAAAATGCAATTCGTAAGTAATGACAAATGTATCAGAGAAAGATGTTTTTCATCTTGTCACGAGCATGGGACAAAGAAAAAATTGAGTCTCCATGTATCAGTCAATCAGTCTATGAGATGGATTTTTAATGCAGTTAAATACAATTTACAGAGTGACAACAACAAAGAGGATCAGTGTTCTCCAGTAGTCAGTAGTTTAGTGAGGACACTGATCTGAATTGAGCTAAAATAAACTATTTAGTGAGTAATTATCAATTCAATAAGGCAAATCATGTGTATATAATAGTGCAAGATATTTCAAAGAGTACTAAACATTGAAAAGAAACAAAAACTGATACGGCGTATTAAAATCATGACCAGAACATCCTACAACTAAATAAGTGGAGATGAATTTGAAAGTGATGACGTGGAGTTGTAAAAACAACACAGTGGTCAAATGGACAGAGGGATAACTTCTGTCTGCCTGGGTGAAAATTTCCTTGAAAAAAATTTGCTCACAATGTGAGAAAAGGAGAATTGAAACTTTTGTAAAAATCTGTTAAAGAAAACAACAGTAAGGGAAAGGAAAACTCAAGACTTTTTGAGCTTATTCAAGTACAGTTATTCTCAGTTATTCTATTGATTTACTATTCTGCTGTGAGCTTTACCAAGACAGTTGTACACTTTGAAAACACTGTGACTTACTGGCTTGTGTGGTTGTTTGTAACTTGAGTGAATCAACTTGGTTTTGACAGCTTGAAAGTACTCCACCTGGTCATTACAATGTTTGCGCAAACCACAGACATTTGATTGCTGTATTCATAGAGAAAAATGATTTTCATTCCTTTGACTGGAAAAGTTTAATAATTGCAGGAGATTTGAACACTGGTATTACCTCAGTTATCTCACCTTGGTTATGTGTTTGATTATTTTCTTCAGGAGCTGTCCTGAGGGAAAGAAGGTCTGCAATGATCACCACTGCATCCCTGAAGATCAGAAATGCTGCCCTGTGGGTGAAATATTTTGTAATCAAAGTGACTCATGCTTGCCAAATGGAACTATGTGTTGTCCAATAGGTAAAGTCTGTTTTGAAGTTATTACTTTGATTTCCAAAGGCTTTACAGGCCCAATTCCCCCTTACCAACCTATGAGATATCTTGTTGGGTTCAATCAGTTGTGTCCTAATGGATTACATATTCATATTACTTCAGTCTTTTCTCACATGGATGTGTTTAAATATGAAAATTATGTTGAACCTGGTAAAGATTTAAGCAATATTGATGATCCATTTAAACATTTTGCTTCAAAAATTACATCTATCAGGCCTTGAAAACTGAAAATAAATTTGTGGTTAGTCAACAGATTGGTCAAGTAGCTCAGCATTTAACCTGTTGCACTTCCAAGATTTACAGTGTAAATCAATTCTTGCCACTGTCTGCCATACCTTCCTCACAGTTTTCCAAGAATTTGACCTTATACCAAACAATACTTTATGGTTGAAAATTTTCTCTTTTCCCATTTTCTGCTAGAAAATGCAGATATTGTAAGGAGAGATTTGGTGTTGGTCACTCTTAGGAACCAAAGGGTAAAGGAGACTGGTACACCCTGTTAGCCATGGGACTACAACATCTTCTAGTAGCTTAAAATAACACTGAATTTATTTTCTATTTTAACAGGCCAACGATATTGCCAGTACACTCGGGACTGTGCTGAACCATCAAATTGTCTACCTCCAATTGCCAATCTTACCTTTCCAACAGTGTGGGAATATCTTCAGCTTGGTGCTGATTTGAGCAAAGGAATTTTTGAACAAAGTGACAATGCTGTAGCACTTCGCAGTCTAAAGACACATGGAGTAAATGGATCCTTGGAGTTTTATAGCAGTAGCCAATGGACTGCTGTCAGAGCCCTCACCCCATCTAATGCTCTGGTGTTGGGTAAAACAAGTTACCTGAGGTAATAATAAGAGATTAATCAATCTCTTGAACATTTATCTTTTAATTTTTTCCCAATTAAGTCCTGATGTGCACAGTTTAATTTGGGAAGATAGTGGCAAGAAACTTTGAGAGTGAAATGGAAAATTGAGCACCAAGAAAAAAGGAATAGATATCTTGTTGTGCATGTAGTCGAAAAATTCCCTTGTCTGAGAATTCCTTTGCAAACGACTTTTATGATGATTCCTGCTCAGGTGGTAATGAATGTCAAAAGTGAAGCAGGATTGCTTTGTTTTTGCTTTACATTGACCTGTGACTGGTCCCGAAAACATGTACCTCCCTTTCAACCAATCAAATGCAAAACTAAAACCAAATAAAACTTACCCTCACTTGTGCTTTTCCTGCCCTTTAGGCACTTGGCTTATAAAAGTATTTTCCTTTTTTCTGACTGGCTGTTGAGATTAAACTCTGGTTTTGGTTATATGACACTCAAGTGAAAAGTGCCTTGTGGATAACAGTTCTTTGAAGGACAACTTGGACGATTAGATATACCACTGAATCTCTAGTTTGGATATTGTTGAATTGAGAAGGCTATGCATGGGAAAGAGAAGAATCTAGACTAAGAAAGATAGCCAGACATTCCTTAAAATGAGTTTTTTGTCAATGCTGAGGAATCCACATTCACTCATTGGTTCATATGTGTTCCTTTTGTTAGATTTGTCCCAACAAAAAAAGGATCTCATGGAATCGTGCTGGTCAACTTTACTGCTTACAGCGATTCTTCCAAAGTTGGTCTATATATGGATGCATCATCTAAGCAATGGACACAGGGAAAGACTATTGCCATTTTTGTATTACCATCTGTAGTGCCCCCACAAATGGTGTATAATGGCTCCCATTATACTGTAGATGAGGATAGCAAGGGTGAAAAGGGTTTTAATGTAAGTAAAAAGCTTTACACACCACACATTGACAAAAAGAGAGAGGGAAACTAAATGAAATTATGCTTTTGTGAAGTGCATGTGGTATTAGATATTGACTGGGGGGAGTCAATCAGTTTACAGAAGTGATAAAGAGTTTATTGATTTAAGGGGGAGAAGTGAAGCAAAATGCATAGTAATCCTGCATAGAATCTTGCATTTAGGGGAGTTTTAGAGGAGGCACAATCTTGAAACTAGTAGGATTTCTCTTTGGTGATAATAATCATTGCAGGAAAAAGTAGATGTTAACCCTTTAAACCTAACGAGTGACCGGCATGTGATTTCTTCTTACATTTACCACTTCACTCCCAATATCTGGTTGTTAACCCTCCTCTCTAGCTGCTAAACATTTCCAAGTAAATTAATAACAAGAATTTGGTGTAAGATCAAGAGAACCACTTCCCCCTGATAAGTATGAGTATTCTCATTACCTGTCTGCTGGATAATGTCTGGATATTATATGGAGAAATTACATGTTAATCACATCTGGGAGTTAAAGGGTAAATAATGGTGAATTATTCATTAAGATCAGTGGAATAACAGAAGCTTTGAAGTGTTAACCAATTCTCCTTGTCAGTGGCAAAGGAAACATATTAAAGAATATGGAGAATGTGTATAATTATATTAGGGTGGAAAGTGATTAGGGGCATGGTCCTGTTAGAATAGGACTGAAACGATGGAAAGAATTTCAGCAAGACTCAAGTCACCTTGTTCTTGTTTATCATTTGGAGATGTAATAATTTCATAAATTGATATTTCCTTCTTTGTTAATTCATTCATTTCTTATTTGGGAATAGATATGGGATCACCTGTATGACAGCTCTCCAAAAGGTGATACTGAAAGTAACATTCCTGATGCCTTACTTGGAGATGTGAACCGCAAAATGGTTGAGCTTTACAATGAGTTACTGGAGGATGTTTCATCTTTGGAATTTGGGCTAAAAATTAAAACCACATCAGGTAAGTAAAGCTTTGAAATGAACTATGACCAATAATTGACAATTATTCTTTTAAAGTGAGATCAACGGCCTGAAATCCAATCTTTATCAATATTTAAAAAAAAAAAACAGTTTTTAAAAAAATAAACCTTTTGAAATGATAATGTTGATGGTTTTATCATTATCCTTACTAATATATATTATTATGGTTGTTTTTATTAGTTTATAATATTGCAATGTTACCATTGTTTTATGCTTTGATAATACAAGTGTGTAAGTTATCTCCTAATTTTTTTTTATTGCAATTATTCTATTTTGTAGAAAATATAAAATTTAAAGGAGGAGACACCAAAAGCTACCATTCCAACATGACTGAGATCAAATTTACTCCCAAGAAAGACTTTAATGGCAATGTAAAAATTAGCATGGAACCCTTTCTGGCCTCTCCAAAGAAGTCCTCTTTGGCTCTTTCTCGCTTTTTCTCCCACAAAGTTACAGAAGCTTTGCATATGACAAATGATTTGAAGGTGGGTGAGGCATGATTTGTCTGGAGTAGAGAGGGAATAAACTCTTCCACTTTGTTAGCGCTAGTAGTGTAAAAATCCACATTCGTTTGCTTTTTGACAGGGAGATTTACAGGGTTTGGGAAAGAAGGCACTTTTCAAGCTCATTAAAGACAATTCAAAGCCATCTTCTGAAAGCATCCTCACAGCTATTAAGAATTTAAATGGTATAACTTTGAATTCCTCTGCTGAACAAGCCGTTTCTGCTCATGTCAACCAGATCATCAATTCAGGTAAGTTAAGCCTTTACATCCTAACATCAGTATGCATATTCTCCATACTGTTCTCTATACATTTTCTAAGTTGCTGACTAGGAGAATTTTTTAACAATCAAGAGCCTCTTTAGTTAGTGATCATTTCCTTTATTCTTGTGACCATATTGTTTGGTTCTGGGGTTATGCTGCGAGGGGAGTTAGATGCTTGTCTCTCTGGCTTAATCAAAACTGTTTTTCTTGATTCCATTGGCTATTTGGAGCCAAATCCTGATATTCACCGGGGACAACGTTACTCATTTTTTAAGTTAAGGATTCACTGTTTAAGAATAAATGGGGTATTCTATTTGCTTTGGAAAAAGGTGTGAAATCCTCACTTGACTTTGTTTTGCTTTCACAGCTAAGGGCCCAGATGGGGACTCCTTTTCACATGTAAGTACACTCAGAATGCGATGATCACTTGATTTGTAAGTCACAGTAAGTTTCCTTTGTTGACGTCCTGTTACCCCCTTTAACTCCCAAGATTCCAATTGGTAATTCTCCCTTCTAGCTGCTACACATTTCCTTGTAAATTAGTAAGGAGAATTCGGTGTTACATCAAAATTACAACTTCTACCTGACGAGGTTGAGTATTTTCATTGCCTGTCTGCCTGATATTGTATGGATATTACAGGGAAAAGTTACATTTGATCACTTCTGGGAGTTAAAGGGTCAATGGAATCTTACAATTACAATGTTGTTGAGAATTTATCGCCACCTATAGCAGTTACAACCAATTACAAATTGATTGAGTTAGTGATGTAAGAATTTGGATTTGCCTGTAAATTATTTCTATTGTTAGAATTTTAATAGACTGGCGCTTTTTATTCTACTTCTACCAGATTTCAACTGATAAGATCATCGAGGTTGATCAAAGTGGAGAAGTTCTGTTTTATGGTAATTTGACTGTGATTACCATAACTGTAACATCAGTGAATGACCCACCGGTATTAAAGAAAACCAGGGGAGAACTGGAGCCGCTTCCGTACGAGCTGTCTGCAGGATGGAATGCTGGCACCTTTATCAAAGATATATTTGACCAGTCCAAAACGGACCCCCTTGCGGAAGACATTGACAACAGAACAATGGAGCTTGGAGCTGTCATTCTGTCTGCAAAAAATGGCTCTCTTGGACGCTGGCTGTACCAAATGAATAGCTCGGTGGCCTTTGAGTACTTTGCATTTGACAAAGATGCAGGGGAGGTGTTTCTTCTACCACCAACTGCCAGGTACATGAATACCTCCAACATGGAATTAAATTTAAGTGGTTCAATGAGATCTAGGCAAAGCAAAAGTCAAGATAATGCCGACCAGTAGTCTCCTAGAGCTTTAGGGGTAAAGTATTTTTACAGTGCTATGTTTAGTGTCAAGCTGTCTTCGCTCATTTTGTCTGTCTCATGCACTGCTGAGTGTCTTTCCCTAACATTGGCGCCTGGTTATCTCAGTTGTAGAGCGCCGGACTACTGTGCGGGAGGTGGAGGGTTTAAGCCTCAGACCGGACCAACACTCAAGGCCTTAAAATAACTAAGGATAGGGTGTGCTGCCTTTGCTATGACATTCGCAAATGGTTGAACATTCTATTCTTCTCGGATAAGGACGATAAACGATAGGCCTCGTTCCGTGCTGATTACATGTAGCTACCGGTCTTGTTTTCTGATCTTGATTCCGAAAATGGGGACGTGTGCAAACATTTCCTTCAAAAATTGTGAACTACTCAATGCAGTCTGGCCAAAGTCTCCTGCATAGTGTTGTAATTAGCGCCATGAGCTAATGGATATGGCGCTGTAGAGATCTTTCAAAACACTAAAATTACTCAATTTGCAGATAACCAATTACATAGTGATCTGAACCTTAACCTGAAGATGGCGTGACTTTGTATTTCTCTGTGTGTTGTGCTTACTCCCGTTTTACTTGACTTTGATATTTTAGGATTAAGATGGAACTATACGACAACCAAACCATTTGGAGCAGTTCAGAAGCGTTGAAAGGAGGAGCAGTGATACAAGTCAGAGCGTGGGACATGACCGATGGAAATGTACCTGGTCTTTTTAATACAACAATTTTATCGGAGACATCTGTTAGCAAGAAATTGGTCAACCTTTTACTTCTACGGCGAGGTTGTGATAACAAGACAGACTTCGCTGCCAAGAAAGATCGATGCGGAGTGTGCAGAGGGGGTGATGAGTGCGTTGCATGCGATGATGTACCTAATTCGAATGCTACAATAAGTAAGTATATTTTACTAATAATTATTGTATTGTCAGACGCTGGTTGGTTTCAGATACATGAACTGATTGTAACAGTTGCTGGCTTATGCGTCATTTTGACAAGGCAGCTTGCGGCATACTTACAGGACATAACTTTCCATCTACAAATTGAACGTTATTGCTCTCTTGATTTTTGTTCGAGAAGGTAGAAAACAATGTTTTGACAATTATACCGAAGGCTATGTAGAAGGTCATAAGAATTACTGGTAGTGTGTAACTAGCCTGAGGAAACCAGCAACTCTTTCCAACTCTTGAAGAGGTTAAAACGCAACCGGTACATCTTGTGTTCAAGAATTTTTAGGTAATTTGTTACTAAAATTGATTACAAGTTCGGTGTCTTAATTTAAGTTCGTTTTATTCCTAGCTTAAAACGCAAACGGAACATCTTGTGTTCAAGAATTTTTAGGCAATTTGTTACCAATATCAATTACAGGTTGTCTTAATTTTGGTTTATTTTATTCCCAGATGAATGCGGAGTATGTGTTTTAGGCAATACCAAGAAGGCTGCAAATTACCTGGTTGACTGTGCAGGGCTGTGCGACTTAAGCATTCAGAATAATGATACTTGTGGCAAATGTATGTCTAAGGATGACATCAAAAACCTGAGAGATTGTACAGGATCATGTTTTGGAAAAGCAGACATCGACGAGTAAGTGTCAAGGATAAGCACATTTTGAGTTAACTGAGCTTGGCTATATCAAGTAACTTAGCCTTTCCAAGGGAGCACCAACTTATTGTGGATGAATGATTTGTGTCTCCACGACCCTCAGAGATAAGTCGATGGAAGTGTTGTACTTCTAAGTTAAGGCACCGGAGCTGAACAGGTCGAACGGTTAAGGCTCAGATGAATTATGATTCCATGGAGGGTGGGCTGGAGGCTGATATCGAATAGAAACAGAAGATCACAGCCTTAAATGCCTTTTGACAGACAGGCAGACAGATAGTAAGACAGATAGACAGACATGCAGACAGACAGACAGACAGATGGACGGACAGACAGATAGATAGATAGATAGATAGATAGATAGATAGATAGATAGATAGATAGATAGATAGATAGATAGATAGATAGATAGATAGATAGATAGATAGATAGATAGATAGATAGATAGATAGATAGATAGATAGAAAGATAGATAGATAGATAGACAGATAGATAGATAGATAGATAGATAGATAGATAGATAGATAGATAGATAGATAGATAGATAGATAGATAGATAGATAGATAGACAGATAGATAGATAGATAGATAGATAGATAGATAGATAGATAGATAGATAGATAGATAGATAGATAGATAGACAGATAGATAGATAGATAGATAGATAGATAGACAGATAGATAGATAGATAGATAGATAGATAGACAGATAGATAGATAGATAGATAGATAGATAGATAGATAGATAGATAGATAGACAGATAGATAGACAGATAGATAGACAGATAGATAAATAGACAGACTGGCAGACAGTCAGACAGACAGACATACTGAAAGACTGAAAGAAAGGTGGAGGTAAACCATGTCCTTAAGAACGGTTTCACTAATGAGCGTTTCTTGAGAAATTTGTATGGAAGACTCAAAGTGCTTTTGTTTCACTGTGTTGCAAGGTTGCCTTTTTTCGTTATTGTATAACTTTGGTTTACAGCAAGCAAACGTTGTGAAAGGATCGTAAAAACCTCCATATTAGTTCAGGCTTGCTATTTTAATAAAAGGATATTAACATTAAATTTATCCCTCTTGCGACTGCTACTCTTGCTAAATCAAAGCCCCCAACTAACCCTAAAAAAAGCTTTCAAAGTATTCAGTGTGAATTTCAAGGGTGTGCCCTCTGTTGTATTCTAGATGCGGCAACTGTACTGGGGGGGCTTCAGGCCTGGCAATCAACTTCCGCCAAGATTCCTGTAGTGTCTGTGGAGGAGACAACTCGAGCTGTGTTGATTGTCTCAGTGTACCCAACGGCGATGCTGAAACCGATGTATGTGGAAATTGCAAGAGTAAGAGTGATTCTACATTCAACACTGGCTGCCTAAAGTTTGGTTCCGTGGCTCCGGTTAGCGGACGAGCAGGATCTCAGGTTCAGATCACAGTTAAGGGGGCTGGTTTTAAGTCTTTGTCTCTCACCAGCTGTGAATTCAATCATACAACTACGAGTCAAAAGTAAGAGCAACTCTTCGATTGTCCCTTTTTTCTTCAGAGTTGTTAGACTAACTCTTGATTTACACTCTTTTTTTGCTAATTATGCAACTTTTCTGTCAGTATTTTTCCATGAACATATTTTTATACGTTGACGGAAGTTAAAGTTCTCATTATGTCACACTTTTTTTTTTTACATAAACTTTATTTAAGCTGATATGGAATTTGTTTTATTTTGCCTTTTTTCTACAAAAACTTGGCGAACTAAATGATAAAAGTCAGTACAATATATACATGGATAGTCGGTCATTCGGATTTCAAAATTTAGCAAATGTTATTAAGGCCGCTAGATTTAAAGGAAAAAATCCAACAGCATATAGTCAAAGTTTTAGCGCATGTGATGTCATGTCAACAATTTGCGTTTTGCATCACTCAGACTTCAAAATAATCGGTGTCCACAATCAACATACTTTTACATTATGCAGGGGGAAGCAATTTTCGGTTTTGACACCCTCATTTACTCGACTATTTAGAAAACCCTTTTGATAAGAATGCGATTACTGTTTGAAGCAACCTCTTACTGAGAGTCGAAAACAACCCGTTCAATTCATCTGCCTTAACTTTTACTTCACTGTGTTCTGTGATTGGTCTAGAAAACTCATTTCACCTCCTCGACCAATAATATTCCAACTTAAAACCAATCGCGATTTAGGACATATTCTTATGATTGCTTTGCGTCCTCGTTGGCTTCCCGTTTTCTAATTATGGTTTTTGGCACCCATCAAAAAGTGCTTCAACGTTCTATTAATAATAATAATATTATTATTCTAATTATCATAATTATTATTTTTATCATTTTCAGGTACGCTGCATCACGTAGCGACCATACTTCAAATAAAAATACACTGACCGTGACAGCACCGTCGACCTTGCCAACAGGCGTCTACACGGTCCTGTGCAGCTTCAGTGGCAACATTAAAATTGAAAGCGAGACCGCTGTGTTTACAGTGTACAACAGTTCAGTGATTTCTCTGTCAAGTATCTCCCCAAGCGAGACTGAAATTAGCGACTCTGGCGCCACGATTAACATGACAATTACTGGGACAAATTTTGTCGACACTGGCTATGTGGCTTGCGTTAGAGAGGGAGGTGCAAAGCTTGCGACTGGAGTTTTCGTGAGTTCCACAAAAGTTTATTGTCCAATTACCACTTTTAAAAAGTCTGCTCTTTTCAACGTCTCCTTGCAGTTTGGAAAGAATGACCCAGCAGTTGATTCCAGTGTCGAGTTTTCATTTTATGCCACCCAGCCGAGCGCAGCATCACTAGCTTTTGATAGTAATCCCACCAAACTGTTATTGTCCTTAGACAAGAAAGCAAAGCTTAAATCGGACAATCCTCAATGTTCTGACTTTTTCGATCAAGGAACGATAGCGTTATTCGCTGGCGACAGTAAGTGTAAATTGGTGAGACCCAAAACAATGCTGATTCTGTTGGTTGGTGGTGGAGCGACGATAAAACCAGGCGACTCAGTGAACTTTACAAATGGCAGTCTAGCTGCGCTGGGAGAAGCCAACACTAAGTTTGTCGCAGGTATAACGGAACTCACCGTTCAATCACCTCAAAACCCAGTCGTACCAGAAGTCGAAATTCAAGGGGCAGAATTTATCGGTGAGTTGTGCAGTTACTGCCTCTCCATGAGAATTGTTGTATTCCATTATGAGGTTTTTGTTCCTTTACCTTTCACTTACAGGAGTGACCAAAGTGAATTTCTCCTTACAGTAGGGATACATTTTCAAGAAGAAAGTTGATGAGAAGTTAGAAAATTTTAAGAAGGGGATGTTGTTTGAATTTAACGCTAATTTCTCAGGCCTGAAAGTGTAGGGAATACATAACAAAGAGTGTGTAGAGTTAATATTTATATTGTAGATCTGTGAATGGAAAGGTTTACACACGACATCCCTTACAAAAGCCAAGGTGAGAACCAGTCAGGAAACTAAAATTCCTCGAATTGAAAACACCAATACGTATCTTGTTATCTCTTAGGACCTTGTGCTAGCCTAGAAATTGATACGGATACAAAGGGCGATGGCGGCCGACCCATGACTTATGAATGGTATGTGAAATCCAAAGTCGGTGCAGATGCCAATACAACATCTGATATGACCTCTCTCAATTCAACTCTCGCCGGCTTAGCATCCACGACAAGCTTCTTCACCATTACAAAGGACAACATTGTCAAGAACGTTGAGTATGAAATTGTTTGCAAAGTTACGAACTTCCTTGGAGAGAGTGATGAAGACACTTTTTCGGTAACCCGCAAGAATGAAGCCGTCCCAGAGGTCAAGTTGAACTCACTGGGTGAAACAATGAGTAAATCGGAAAGACGTTTGATCCGTGGTATGTCTTTAATTCCTTAAATCCTAAGTATGACTACGGTATGATTTCTCCATACAGTGACACTGCTGAATGAAACACAAAAGTCTTGAGAATTAAGGAAGTCGTCTTCAATTTAGAAGCTCTTTATTGTTGAAGAAATTCTCCTCGTCAGTACCTCAGGATATGTAAAGAGAACAGTTAATAATATATATTTTATGGAGCCTGTTAGTTACCATCAGCTTTTAAATAACTTTAAGACTCTTTGTTCCGTGTATTTTTAAGTAATCCCTTGTCCGAGCTAGAAAGGGAATATTGAAGCAAGGAAACAAGCAAGTGAACGAGCTAGCAAGCAAACAAACTTTGTTACGTGAAACCACCTTAATTTGTGTATTGCATTTTTTTTCTCTCCAGCCTCAGTTAGCTTGCCAGGGTGTAATGGTTCCGACGCTGGCGGCTTCGCGTACACTTGGGAGTTGAAGGACTCAAGTGATCAGGCTGCTGATCTTGGTTCGGATACAGATGCCACCAAACCTTATCTGAAGCTCCTAGGAAGTAACTTAAAAGGTGGCGAGGTAACAATTCTATGCTTCGAGTGTCATGAAAAACTATTATATTTGCTGAAGTGTAAGACTATAGCAGTTTCGACGGTATTCCCAGATTATAATTGGGCGCTACTAGCAACTGGGCTACGAAGCCACACGCTGGGAGCGAGGCAAATTTTTAGAGGGTTCTTCTTTCCTGTAGAGCAATCTGATCGTGATTGTGAACTGTATGCTTCTAAACACAGAAGATTAATCCTTTAACTTGTCACAAACTCTTCCTTCAGTCGGGGACATGCTCTTTGGAGTTGAAGACCATCTTAAGCAATGGGCCACACTACTCTTCTCTGCCTAAGCAGAAACCGGATGATCCAATCAGATTAGCACTGAAGAAGCAGAAAGAATACTTAAAAGCACGGAGAGAGTAGCATTGTGCCGAGAAAAATTGTTAACTAGTTGAAACACAAAAACAAAACAAAAACAAAACAAATCTAAAAGAATAGGTTGAAACAGTGGCTTTATTCAATGGCTTAGCAGCAGGAAAGTTTCAGAACTTGTGGTTTTCTAAAGTTGTCGTGTTGTCTGTTTCTTTTGTAGAATTACACTCTGACAGTAAATGTATTCGATAACGAGAACATTGATATAACCGCTGAATCGTCTCTCCCCATTCAAGTGTCGTCGAGTGAATTGAAGGCGCGAATTGCTGGTATGATAAATGTAGCTTATTATTCAAGCCTGAGAGCCAAACCCGGCTCTCAGCCATAGTTATGTAATTTTTAAGGGACTGACCATTTTTTTTCCGGGGGGGTGTGTGTGTGTGTGTGTGTGTGTGTGTGTGTGTGTGTGTGTGTGTGTGTGTGTGTGTGTGTGTGGAGGATTTGGTTGAGCTCTGTAATATTCTTATGATCTTCTCTCTCACTGGCAAATAATTGACAGTTAATTTATATAGGCCCCTCCCCCCCTTCGTATTCTGTTGGCGACGGCTGATTCCCTCTTAGTTTTCCTTACAAAGATGCGATTTCCCCTGAAAAAAATCCTCCATGTGGATTCCATGTTGCCGTGGGTCAGTACGGTGATATGACAGAAGAAGGCAAAAAGTGATAAGAACATCAGTGAGTCACTCAGCTGCGCCTTGTGCGCCACTTTTTTGTTCTTACCACATTTTGATGTCAACTCTGATCTATTACTGAATAGACGCACAGCAACATGAAATATTTTTGTCAAAAAGACGCACAGCATCGATTTGCTTTGAACAGTGAACTGAAAAAATGAAATGACTCACCTACGAAGTTGTCCCTCTCTACTGTTTGTTTCTGTTTCCGCTTATTTTGTGGCGACCGTCACCGCATGTTTGAGTGTTCATGATGCATTTATGATGTCGTCAGGTGGTGTGTCTTTCGACGTGGGTTATGAAGATTTCTTAGTGCTGGATGGTAGAAAATCAGAAGACCCAGATGGATCCAGCGATGAAGCTAGGTATCAATGGACATGTAAAGATTCTGAAGGCGACTGCTTCTACAACAACGACCGTGTTATTTTGCCCAAGACTGATGTTGTTAACAAGAGTGTGTCATCATTTCTGCAATCTGGAAAAACGTGAGTTGTGGTTTTTGGTTCAAACTTACCTACCATTTCAGATTTTACAAGTCACTTACTAACTGGCGTTTTCCAGCGCCTCAAGCAGCTTGATATTACTTCAAGCTCCCATTGGCTCGGTGTGATTTTTTCTCTGTTGTGATTGGCTGTTTTGATTACCTTAGTTTTGGTTTTATGACGCTCAAATCGAAACGCCGCGCTCTCTATTAACTTAAGATTCATCATTTATTTGCTGGAAAATGACATTAAGATGGTAATTAAAATGTATATTTTCGCTGATATTTGTTATTAAACATTGTAAACTTACAGGTATACTTTTAAGTTGACATATCGTAAAGGTGCCCGAAAAGCAGTAGCCGAAGTCTCGGTTCGAGTGAAGCAGTGTTCCCCACCAAATGTGATTATTCGACCTCAGAAGTCAAACAAGTTGAATGCTGGAAAAAAAATAGAAGTTCACGGAAAAGTTAAGGCTTTTGGTAACAAAGTTTCGTTGGACTATTCCTTTGTGCTCGAAGACGGTAAGTTTACTATCGTTTATTCCTTTAAATTCTTGAACGCGTGATCCTCTCAATATTGGCTGACGAGATTTGTGATGAGAAGTATGATGGTTTTGATCGTTCAAAAGTAGTCAAGACACCAGTGCTTAGTGGCTCAGCCGCTCCAGAAAGTCTAGGAGCGTGAACTACATTGAGATGTCGTTTTTCAGCTGATGAAGACACAATTGTGATGTCTCCCTTAACCACTGTAATGTAGCCTGTATAGGTGGTGGTTGGGCGATGGATGAAGGCAAATGGGCCAAGTTTGGAAAACAAGAATGACAGAATTTTTCTCTTCCTATGCCTAATCGTTTCTTTTCCGCTAAAAACCCAAAGAAACAGCCTTCTAGTTAAACCAGTCGAGATTCTTTAGTGTGTTTAGTAATCTCACAGAATTTCCTGGGAACAATTCCCGGTATTTTGTTTTCGATAGGGTATGGGTATGAGAGCGACGTCTCAGACCTTGTGTCAGTAACTCCTAAACCAGAACTCAGGAGTGCCAATACTCGACTGGAACAGGATATTGGAGTGTATTTCAAAAAGAATGTCTTTGACTCTGGGAAGTACAGGTTCCGAGTGTCGGCCAACACAACTGCTTGCAGTTCGTATTCAGAAACAGAGTTCACTGTAAATGGTCCGCCACTAGTAGGTGGGTACAGTCACAATTAATCCGTCTCAAAACAAAAAAATAATTGAGGGTGTCTTATGAAACGCTAGTTTCGAAATTGAGTTTTGATATCATCTGTGCAATGTAACTGTAATTATAAAATCCGTAATTGTTATGTAAGAAGTTTTGTTGGTAATGTTATTATTTGTTAGTAGATATCGTATCATAGGTAGTGTTTATATTGTATTATATGCATCAGTAGTTTGTAAGTAATTACATTTAATTACAAACACTTACAATGTATTGTTAGTAATTTAAGTGTAGTGCAAAATAGGGTTTAAAAATATATTTTTTTTGACATCATCTCTATGACTTTCATAAGAGTACCGTCAATGCCGAATTGGCGTCGATTGCCATAAAATGAGATGTGGACTGTCTATGTTATGTTCTGTGTCAGGTACTTTTGAAGTGACCCCTGCAAGTGGAACAGTCTTGGATACGGAGTTCACTTTAAGAGCAGATCAGTTCAGTGACGATCCAGACGACTATCCCCTGACCTACCAGTTCGGGTATTATGAACTTATTAACGGGGAGGAATTTGCTTCCGTCATAAGTTTACCAAATCGTCGAAAGAAGAGAAAGGTTACCCTTCCACAAGGTTTGTGATACGAGAGAGTGCACGGGCAAGTAAATATCTCAGCCACATTGACAACTTTTTAAGTATTCACTTTAACAGGGGTATTTAAGTAACTTTTTGTGCGCGTTTTTAGGAAGCTATTATCTCTACTCCCACGGGCAGTCCACGGGCATTTGACCGTCGTCCATGCCCCGGGGGGTGGAGAATTTGAACACTGTCTGGCTGGGGTAAAGAATTTGAACTGGAAAAGCCTTCATGATTTCGTCTTTTCAGCGGAATCCAAGTGCTACATCTTTAATTATGGAGATGTTTAAAAGTAAAGAGTTCACTTTCGCGTGCAAATGGCTCGGACAAAAAAGTCCGCAAGGTGTAGTTTCCAAAGCTTGGTAAATGAATAGGAAGTCACAGTTGCTGATTTTGTCTTAATGTTTTGCCAAAAAATTGACCATCAAGACCGGCACTTGGGCAGGGCATTTGAACACAATTTTTGCCCCAGGGGGCGGAATTTGAACAAACCAATCATCAAAAGTTCAAATGCCCGGGGGTTGCCCGGGGGATGTTTATGCTTCGAATTGATGGGTGCATCACTTGTTGAAAGTAGTAACTGAAGGTTCCTTACATTACATACGTCATATTTAGGGCTGATCTTTTGATTAAAGAAAAATTTTTCAAGTAAGAGCTTGATTTACCTTTTCTTGTTTAGAACAGTTTGTCTTAGTATTCTGTCACTGTAAACCTTGGGTACTAATAAAGAGGATACAGGAAGGAGTCATCGTTATGTTTAAATCTGTTTTGGATTACAGGCGACGAGAACAACAACAATACCCTCCGAGTGTTTGTACGGGTTTTTGACAAATTTGGAGCCAGTGTGATGACCGAGAAGACTGTTCAGGTTTTGCCTAAAGTGTTTTCACTAAGCGATCTTCAAGATTTGCAGAACTCTGCAACGAGTCTAGAGGAAAGCGGAGACTTGGAGAATCAATTAGGTGAGATTTTTGTGATGCTTTTAAGTGACTTCGTTTCTGTTTCTCGTCGCCGAGCAAAAAGAGAGAGGAAAGGACTGGGAGAAGAGAATAAAGAGATAAGAAAAATTAAAAAGAAAGGAAAGGAAAGGAAAGGGGAGGGGAGGGGAGTGGGAAAGGGCAGATGAACCAAGGAGGACAGGAGAGGGGAGGGGAAAAAAAGGAGAGAGGAGTGGAAAAAGAGAAGAGGAGTAGTTCAGATAAGGTTAGGACAGGACAGTAGGAAAGGGAAAAGGAGAGTGGAACGGGGTTGGACAGGAGTGGGGAGAGAAAGGAAAGGAGAGGGGACTGGTAAAGAGAAGAGTAAAAAGGCAAAAGAGGTCAGGATAGGACAGTAGGAAAGGGAAGAGGAGGGTGGAACAGAAGTGGAGAGGAGGAGGGGGGAGAGAAAGGAAAGGAGAGGGGACTGGTAAAGAGAAGAGTAAAAAGGCAAAGGAGGTCAGGACAGGACAGTAGGAAAGGGAAGAGGAGGGTGGAACAGAAGTGGAGAGGAGGAGGGGGGAGAGAAAGGAAAGGAGAGGGGACTGGTAAAGAGAAGAGTAAAAAGGCAAAGGAGGTCAGGACAGGACAGTAGGAAAGGGAAGAGGAGGGTGGAACAGAAGTGGAGAGGAGGAGGGGGGAGAGAAAAGAAAGGAGAGGGGACTGGTAAAGAGAAGAGTAAAAAGGCAAAGGAGGTCAGGACAGGACAGTAGGAAAGGGAAGAGGAGGGTGGAACAGAAGTGGAGAGGAGGAGGGGGAGAGAAAGGAAAGGAGAGGGGACTGGTAAAGAGAAGAGTAAAAAGGCAAAGGAGGTCAGGACAGGACAGTAGGAAAGGGAAGAGGAGGGTGGAACAGAAGTGGAGAGGAGGAGGGGGGAGAGAAAGGAAAGGAGAGGGGACTGGTAAAGAGAAGAGTAAAAAGGCAAAGGAGGTCAGGACAGGACAGTAGGAAAGGGAAGAGGAGGGTGGAACAGAAGTGGAGAGGAGGAGGGGGGAGAGAAAAGAAAGGAGAGGAGAGTAGAAGAGGTGAAGAGGAGGGTGGTACAGCGGAGGACAAGAGGGGGAAGGGCAAAAGGAGTGTGGCTTCAGCAATGTGGATGAAAGTGTCACAACAGGCGAGAAGCCAATTTGTTAGCGCGTTTTGATTGTAGATTGAATTTGATACTTCTGCACCCACGGGTAGCAATTTCCGGCCAAGAAGATTTAGACGGGAGATAAGTGTTGGTTAACAAGAATATTGCTGTTTTAGGTACAATGAATACCGTACTGTCTGCTGTCTTAAGCACCGGTGCCAATGCGAGTGATGAAGTGAAAGAATCTCTGAACGCGATTAAACAGCAATATACTCAGATGGTGAGTATTGTGTATGCTTAGTGTATCATATATCTGGTAAAGCATGGACCAAGTGAGGACGCTGCAAATTCAGAACCAGCCATATTGGGTTTGTATTGGCTGCAAATCTAGTAAACACGGGGGTTAAGTGGGTAGCACGTTGGACTCCTGATCGAAGGGCGGGTTAGGTTCGAGTCGTGATAGGGACAAGTTTCTCTAGAGGCAAAACTACTGTCAATTAGCCTCTTTAATTTCAGGAGTACGAATAGATACTAGGAGGGAAACCTGGCAAATCCAAGAGGTAACCCCAGGTATCCTGTATATAGTTTCCTAGAACTGTCAATGAAAATTCGGTTTTATTTAAATATTTGACCCCTCAACTCCCCCTCTTCCCCCCCCCCCCCCCCCCCCCAAAAAAAAAAAAAAAAAAAAAAAAAAAGATTATCATAATTCAAATAATAAAAATGTATGGTATTGAAAGCAGGATAAGCAGTTGAAGCATTGAACCCCCAGCTGGCAAATTTCTTTAGGTGCTTTGTTGATTGTAGTAATTCTCACGACAGGCTGTTAATGCGCTGGAAGCGGTTTCGGGCGACAAAGATGCAGAGATGAATGCCTTGTCTACCATGGGGAAAACAACGGAAGGAGGTGCCGACGCGTTCGATGACTCCACCAAGAACAATTTCTTTTCTTTGTTTAAAAAGTTGCACACGATTGATTCGTCGCAATCTAGAAGGAAACGACGGGCGGTTGAGAATGAGATTCTCGATGTGGATTCACTGACTGGTGATGAGGTGAGGACTCAATCAAAGTTTTTCATCCCGAGTCGAATGTAACTGTGAAGATTTCCATTCTACGTGTGTTTCAGTCGCGTGTTCTTCCAATGGTTTCGGTGGCTTTGTTTTTATTTTAGAACGGTTCACTCGTCGAAAGAAGTTTTTTACTTTCTTTTTTTTTCTTTCAACCAACAGTGCATGCAATTTTTGGCTTTGAATTTATATACAACTGCGGGCTAGTGCATGCAATATTTTCCAGGTTTTTAACCTCTCTTAATTCAGATTTTTGTTGATCAAACGAAAAATGAACTCCAACTTCCATCACACATTTAGATTTTCTTTTTAGTTTGCTTCAGACTCAGTACGTATCTAGAACTCGTTTAGTAAGAGGTTTATCTCGTCCATTTTTTTCATCCTTACTATTCCCCACACTTTTCAGGCTGAGACCACTCTTAGACCTCCGTCGAACCTCATCGCTCCAGATGTCTTCACGCTGGAAGAATCAACCCGGAAGAGCGACTTCTTAAATCTCGTAGACTCAATCGGACTGAAGGTGTGCGCTGGCCAAGGCACCGGCGCTCCGGCTGCGTTCGCTAGAACAAACATGGTCACTCTGCGCGCTGAAACATTGAATTTCGCCGGTATAGACGACGTTAGCATAAACATGGCGTGTTCAGACTGTCCCACGTACGTGAAGCAAACCGCCAAGATGACTCTGGGAAAGACTCTGGAAGCGACGTACAAGTCTTGGAGCTGTTCGTCTTCAGAAACGTGCAGTGGAGCTTGTATTCTCTCCACTCAGGTGGGTTTAACTTTCGATGATCAATAGTAAGAAGCTAATTTCACGACCTCTGCAATGAAAATACGATTAGCTAATTGGCTAAGAAATGCACCCACTCTCTGCATTGCTTTCGGGAAAAATCAGGTTTCTTTTCGTGTTTCAGGTGTTCTTGGCACGAGGAGAAGAAAAGTATACACTTGTTTCCAAACCCTTAACTTTCCCTCCGTGTGAAAATAAAAGTGACAGACTTTTCTTGAACTTGAGATTTGTAATTAATGATCAAATAACCTATTCTAATACTTGTTGATTTTCTTTCCCTCCATACCAGTACCCTGAAGATCTTTTGTACAATCAAACTGACTCTTCTCGGCTAACTGATATCGTCGATGTGAAGTTGTATAACCCAACCACATTTCGAGAGGTTACCGTCGGGTCTTTAGCTGAGCCGGTTACGTTCTTGATTCCGCTGCAACCAGGAAAAGTGTTTCCAAATGAAAGCACGAATTCTGCAGAGGTGAGTTTGAATAGAGTAACAGGAAACAGTCCAGGGGATAGAGCAATTTTAAATGCATCATGAAAAGAAATCCAGGAATTTTTACGCTGTGGGATTGGTGTAGAAAACTGGCGCTTAACTTTCAACCATTCAGATGCATTAACCAATCACGGCTAGGTGACTCGTGTTTCCCGCGCTCTGGGCTGCTTAGAAATTTTTTTTCTCTGTGTTCTTATTGGCTTCCCTCTACATTTTACTTGCTCTGTTTGACGAATGTACATGTAATTACATCGGTCTTGGTTTTACAACACCATTTGGTTCAGAGGCAATTTCTACGTAGTGCTACAGTTGCGGGCCAGCAATCCTAAATACAGGGTCAGAGCAAAGTCTAGATCCTTGTAAAGTTATGGAAATTTGAAAAATTGTTATTGTGACTTCGGAAAAATTCTCCATTCTCCACATAATGGGAACGCTTATCGCCATCGAAGAATTTCAACTGCTTTTATACTTGCGCCATGTGATTTGAATCATGACCATAAGTCTTGGAAATGAAAGTAATGGTTTGGAACAAGTCTTTATGATTTCCTGAACGTTTTGCTAAAAAATGCAAACAAGCTCTGAGTCCTCGAAATGGCTTTGGGCTTTGATAAGTTGGAACCACTCGCTTATCTGAAGCACGAAACGGAAGAAATGACTTTCGGAAAGCGCAAAAAAAAAAACATTTCTCTTCCTACAAACATCAAAATTTACTAGTGAGCTCAGTATTGATGTTGTAGTGATTCACGCATTCTGTATTGTTGCTATTTAGTGCAAGTTGTGGAGCTCTGGTGAATCAAACTGGACTACAACTGGATGTGTATCAGGTCGTTCCGCTGTGATATCAGGTAATGTGACTTATGTTGAGTGCAACTGTACGACATTGGGATACCTAAGTGCGTTTGTTGGCCCAAAGAGGGAAGAAGTTACCACTCCCGCCCCAACCACTGCTGCCCCAACTACTGCCGCTTGTGAACTGGAACCAAAGAGCTCAGGTGTCAACGTCAAGTTTGCTTTCAACGTGTCATATAGCAGCATAATTGGAAACGACAGCCAGAAGGCAGCTGTCGAAGCGAACATTATTAAAGCCCTTACTGACTCATCGAACCTGGATGAATGCAGTATACAGGATTTCAGCTTGACAGCTGGTAGTATAGTGGTGGACTTTGTCGCGGTGCCCAAAAAAGGTCAGACCACTGCCAGCATACTGCAAGAAATTACCAAGATCGAAACAAAAGTCAAGGCAGGTACCTTTCAAATCACACTGCCGAATGGCCAGGTGATTTCCGCTGACCAGAGTTCGTTCGAGTCCACCCTAGTAACTCCTGTTACTACAACTGCTGCTGTTCCTCCAACTGAAAGTGAATCCAATAATACGACTGTAATCATCGTAGCCTGCGTGTGTGGGGGAGTGGCTTTGATTGTGATCATCGCCATCACTGTGTACTGCTGTAAGAAGAAACGAGGAGCTGGGAAAATTTCACCCTCCACCTCACCAGACCCTCAGCGTAACAGTCGCGAGGACGTGGAAATGAACGAGCGGGGTCAATTTATTCGGGACAAAGACCATCCAGGTGAGTTGCTATGGACGAAGGAAATAATTAGGAACAATTCTTCATTTAAGAAATTCATTACCGTGTATTCTCTGAATAATATTTCATCGCTTGTACTTTTCAAACCGTAAGGTTTTATTCTCCATTCGTTTTGGATTGTATAAATTCTGTTTCAGCGTCTTTTTTTCCACCCTCATCATCCTTCGTTGTCCGTTTTATCTTGCTCGTCTTGTTGCTTGTTAAGCAAGCTTTGGATCAGTGCAGAGAGAAATTGTGCATGACTAGCTCTCTATCCAAACCAGCCTATCAATGCCTATCACTTTGTTAAATCAAAATATTAACTGTTGGCGGTCTCTTTTCTTACCCAGGTGCAAATAACAACAGAGGAGCCGATTTCTAGGTCCTTTTTATACAGTTGAACGAGGTTGGCGGATACAAGAGCGATGTCGATGCATGAAATTAAAACTGTTTCTTATCAAGAATTCTGGAACCGGCATGAGGAAGTTCAAAAACAAAACAAACAACTCAGTATCACTTGTGGTATACAAACCCAAATTCTCACCAAGTTTCTAACCATTTGGCCTGAAAAAAACTCGGAAAATTTGGGATTGATTTCCAATGCTGAACAAAAAGTTATCTGTCGTGAAATGAGTTGGTAAGGAAAACTCGTGATTAAATTCACAAGCCACAAAAGGCGAATGAAACCTCATAAGTAATGTAAAATAGTTCACAATTTAACCTATGTTAAATTATCGTAAAAACGCGTGTGGAGCACGATAAGTCTAGGCTCGATAACAAGCCGATTTTCGAGAAAATGAAACGGTCCTCCATCCCTTCCCCCTTTTTAGGAGGGGTCACTGAAGACCGAAGTCAAGACATCGGTGAAAATCCAGCCTACGATAAGTCGGAATACCTTGTAGAAACTTTTTTTTCTATTTGAGACATTCAAAAGTACACCAAAACCCTTTTGCTCAAATTTTATTTATAGCATGTTGTGAATTTATTGCCAGCGGATTGCCGTTAGTAAACATTTTCAGAGTAGTAATGTTCTATTTGTACTTTTGTACTATGTCATCGTGCTCTTAGACCATCCAGTCGGTTTTCGTGTTGTAGGAGTGTACTATCGTCAAATATATAATGAATCCAGTATAAAAACGTTGTTTTTATTAAAGTGTGAAACAGTTTAAGATTGGTTTTCTGCTACATTTTAAGTCCAAGATAAGACCAGAGAATAATGGTCAGGTCACAAGGGCTCCATTAAAAGAAACCGAATTACTTGTCTACTTGGGTTGAGTGTCCAGGAAGAGAAATTCTGAAAACTAAATGTTCGCTCATAGAGCAGAAATATGTAAAAACTAGTCAGTTTTCTGATTCTTCGCAAACGAGTGAGTATTTGCGATTGAGTAGGACACCATGTCGTTTTTTCATTTCTAGTTTTTTCTTTTAAATAACAGTCAACATATCTTTGTAAAGCGCCTTGAACCTGAGGGATATAAGCGCTCTAGGGAAAAATCGTTTTGTTTCAGTCACTAGTAGTAATATGTAACATGTACAGTCTCACAGAGAGTCACAATTGGAAAGTTTCTTTTGGGTCTGTCTCATTACAAGTCATCAGCAATCACAGGGAACCCACACTCGATCAAGACGTCGTAGAGACTACCCACAGTTATGTGTCGCTGGTTAGCAATAAAACCCAGGGCAGCATCACATGGGTTAAGCGTTCGGTTGTCAAGGAAACGAATCTCTCTGGGAGTCAGCCCAAGTTTCTCAGCGACTACCTTCCACTCATCACTGCCTGAAAGAGCAAACGAAACTTTCAGTTTGTTTTTGAATATTTTTTAAAGTTGTTAGATGATTATTTTTTCCCTTTTCCAAAATGTTACAATTGAAAAAGACAACTGCTCCACGCGGATATGAATTATGCAGAAGAGGATTAATTCAAACTGACCAAAACTTCAAAATAGAGCAGGGAAATGTTATCCACTTGTAATGCGTCAAGTAAGTTCACATAAGAATACTTTCCAATTGAGTTTCGCCCAACCAAAACCAAACGAAGAAGAAGAAGAAAAGAAAATATTTTTAAGTGCCAATGAAAATTCAAAGTAAAGCCAACCACACTACCTAAAGCGAAGGAAAACGCGAACGACCAAGTAGTCATTGGTTTTAGTTTTGCATCTGATTGGTTGAGAGAGTAGCGCCGCGCAACTGTTTTGAAGCAAAACCAAAGCATTAAATTACTTTTGTCAATCAGTTGAAAACTACTCTAAAAAACAGACAAAAGCAACAAAAATACCAAAACACAACGACAAATATATCCGTAAATTTCCTTGTTCACGGGAATGATCGATTCATGGAATCGCGGAGACACTGCATCTTGATGAATTCAACTTCATTTCGTCTTCCTCTGATCAGATAAAAAACTAAAAAAGTGGATACGAGAATATGACGCCTATTGCAAATTCATGTTCCTTACCACTCAAGTCTATGGTAAGATTTCTCATGTGAGTAACTGGAACATTCCGCACATCAAGCTGTTCAGACAGTATAGGACCTGACAGAAGATGAAAAGGGATGGTGAAACAAAATCAAAACAAAGGCAACAATAGAGATAAAAATCGTCATGTACACAAATATAACAGCTTTAAATTCAGAACGTGTACAGCTTTTTCGCGTATGAAAGAGAGACGTTATTGTATTTGTATTGTCAGGTGGGCGGAAGAAAGACGAGGAATCGTCTACAGAAAAATAGTTGGTGAGCGACACACTGTGATCATCTATTCATATTTCAGTTCTTATACTTTTTAGTGTCACCATCATTTTGTAACACGAGAGAGAAGGTGTTTACTGAAATCTTGGTATCTAGATAAATAAGGCATTCAAGAAATCACACCGTATCAAATAATTTAACAGACATGGTTTGATGCTACTCCGGTTTAAAGATTTAATGATTGTAACCGAGAGGATACAATTCATAGACCCAGAGTAGCATCAAACCGTGTCTGATTGTCCACCTGGTTGCCTTGTGAACTTTAATACAACTTAATAGAACATACTTTGCAACTTTCACACTCACCAGTAGTACCAGCTGGCGTAATTTTCCTCAAATGTCTCACCACATCAAACCTGTTGGAACTTTTAGCTTTCCTTGCCAGGCATCGAATCATTCTTCTAGTCTCAGGCTCCGGGTGTTTCAGAGAATCAAGGTTCAGCTGCAGTTCCTCATTTAATTGCCTTATAATCTCCTTAGGGTCACATGATCGTGACAAAAGTGATTCCACAACCTTTCCAGGAAGCGCCACGAATTTCTCGCCACTTACTACGAGTAAAAACTCTTAATCAACATACTATTTGGTGGAGTGAAATAAGAGAAATGTTGACAGGGTTTTCAGTCTTAGAAGTTACATCAAACACTATGATCACGGATACTCAAAATATCTCAAAATTAAAAAAAAAAAAAAAAAAAAAAAAAAAAAAAAAGGTAGGCTCCCTAACGTAAATTTTACCGACATCAAATTGCTCGAAGCAACTGCTGCGAGAAGGTCTAGATTTTGTATTTGTAACCCAAGTGTCCATAAGGTTTCAACCAACATTTCCCACGAAACGCTATGGAAATTAGTCGCCTTTCTGTACAGTTAATTAACCATCATGCTGTAAATGTTGTTTCCAAAAAACAACAAAAAAAACACACCAGAATAATATAAGAATTAAAAGTCAGCTACCAAACAAACCGATCTTAAAGCAGTTTTGAAGAAATGTTTTTGAACTGTATTGTTGTTGTAAATCACTCAAATCAGGAATTCCTTGCGTATAAGTAAGTGCCGAGGCAAAAGAAAAACGAAAAACTGATCCAAACTGCACGCTACAATGGGATGTAAGGCGAAACTTACCATCCACGTGTGCACTGTCACGTTCATCAGTCACAACCTGTCACAAAAAAATCAGGTGGGGAACCATTAAATATAATGGCCGTCTTTCTTGACAGTGGATAGTGTTATCCCTACAATTTAGGAAGTAACAACTCGGACGAAAATAATGTATCTATCCTTCGAAAATAATGGATCAATTCCAGAGTCTTAGGGACTGCATACCATCCCCTCCCCTCCCCTCCCCTAACCCAACATTAATCCTACATTGTTATCAGTTGACTGTTGTTGGGGGGGGGGGGGGGGGAAGGTGCGCAATTGCGCAGACACTAACATTGATCCAAAATAACCTTTTCGCAAATGGAGGAGTTTCGGCGGAATGTTACATAGAAGCCAAACGTAATTACCGAGTGTAAGAGTGTAAATCATGATTCACACGTAAAGCTCACCTGTTCATCTACGTATGCAAACCATGGTGCTAACTGGTTGACGTGAACTCTGTTATTCAGGGCAACAGCAGACCGTGTGCAAACAACGATATGCTTTTCACTAAGTAGCTGCGATTCTGACCAGAAATGCAGACACTCCTCTTGAGTGCAACTTTGGACACGGTGAATACGGCAGAAGTTAGTTGTGCCTCCTCGACAACATACTGAGCACATAACACATGAATCATACTTCATATTCGTCAACCAACAGAACTCCTTGCGCATTGATTCGAGAATGAACACCACCTGTCTATGCATATTAAGAGCGCAAACCACATCATACCTGTCATGCCCCAAGTCAGTAGACAAGTTCATTATTGACTGCAAACTGTCTGTCAACCCAAAATTTGCTTTCGCTCTGTGAAAAACGATCTCGACAGAAGAAGAGTGACAACGTAGGATTACAGAGCAGTCTTCCTCTCCAGCTTTGTAGAATCTGGCAAAATTTTGGTACAACTGTGGATTAACTGGACTCCATAAGCCATCTTTTCCCCATTGAAAGAACTGCAACACTAAACGAGGGAACAACCCTGGTGGGACTTGACCAGATTCAAATTTAATAAAGAGTGAAGGAATTTGCGCAGAAGCGACGAGCTTGATGATGTCTTCTGGTGGATGGGACATTAGCATGGATGGAACTAGGTAGTGTTTCCCAGGGGAAGTACTTGATGATAGCCACGGACAAAGCAAACTGAATTTCTCCATCAGAGCAACAAGGCTCTCAACTGTTTCTTTGTTATCAAACAGAGGATCCCAGAGATGTTTCAAAAGTTTTTCTTCCAGGATTCCTGTTGCCTCGAGTTGAAACCATAGCTCCTTGAATTCCTCCTCCTGATTGCTATAAGGCCTAATGGTTATGACCTTCTTAAACACATCAGTTAACCACTGGGGATCCAAAATCACCATTTTATTCAACTCTGGTGTGTCATCAAAGTGGATCAAAATCCTCTGGTCGTGGAAAAAGTTCAATAATGCCTGGAACTGTTTATTATCGACAACTTTGCATACGTGAGTAGCGATTTGCCTTGCCCCTTCCAGTGTGATCCACTTCTGACCTTGTTCCCTGGCGACTTTCAACGCCCTTTCAAAGTTCAACCACTTGATTGGAATGGCTTCTTTCACTTGTGGTAGTTTCTTAGCAACAGCAAGTACTTCCTTTCTCAAACGTGTGACCTCTGGGCACTCAATTTCAAGACCTGATTTAGTGTTATCCACAGCAAACACGCCATCAAAGAGGTGGGTTCTATATGGCTTAGCCTGTAAAGAACTAAAAATCTCTTGGGCTAATGCGCTAGGAATTCTGCCACCGTGGGGCTGGTCAGCATGGGTGCACACCAAGAACACAGGGGGCAGTTTCTCTGGCAATACCTCACAATGAGAGATGACTTCACAACTCTCAGTTGTGCCGCCAAAAGACGCCACGGAAGCCATCCAAAAATCTAAATAATCCAAATTGGTTTTTGCTCCAAAGCTGTCTTCGAATTTCCTGAACGTTCCTTGCCTCACAACTGGTTTGGCTACTTGGTGTGGATCACGGCTGAGGTCATAAACTAGAAGATACATCGCTCTGGCAGTGAGGAAGATTGGGTGCGTTGCATAATAGACTGACTGTCCTCCAAAATCCCATAACACCGAATATATTTCCTCCTCGTCCTCTTCATACTTAACATCTTTTAGTAACCTTTCGATTAACGCCACTATTTCCTCTGGTTTAAGGGGTTCGACGAGAGGAACTAAGTCCCTTTTTTGTCTTTGTACTAGGTTTGGTTCAACCCAAACAGATGCGTTCGTGCTATTTTTGTTACTGCTTTCTTCACCGCTGGGTGTTTGAGCAGGATCTACATCTTTCGACATCTCGTCACTGCCTGGATTTGTCACGACGCTAGAAAGCTCAACAAGACTTTGCGTATCAGCAACTGGAACATGTGAAGGTACTGAGGCGGGATCTTCGTTTGTTTCATGAGTGTCCACCAAAGGAGCATTTCTTGACTCAGCAGACTCTTTAAAATTTTCCATAGGGACACTGTTGTCTTGTCGCAACATCTCTACAGCAAGGCGTCCGGCATGGTGTTCACAAGACAGTGCTGCGGCAGAATCGGTTACTTCACTCTTCACTCCAGTTTTCCAAAGTTCAGTTGTCACTTTGAAATACGATGAATCGACATCAATTCCCACCGTGCTATCCATCCGCCGATTAAAACGTTTCCCCGTCAGTGAATTTTTCAAGCTGGTCTTTCCTGAATGATCCTGACCAATCAACATGATCGGCACTCTTCTCACGCAGGTATTCCCTTCGATAAGGGCCTTGTTGTAGGCTTGCAAAGCAAGACGTCCACGCGCTTGGATCTCTAGAGGAACCACTACAAAGACAAACAGTGAAAACTCAAGTAAATTTGAAGAGGGAGACAAGGTGGTGTAATCGTTAAATAGTCTAAATTAACTTTTATACTCGGACCCCGATTTGTGTTTCGATCGTCAAGTGAGAAAATTTTGGGCGCCAAAATAGAATAATAAAAATAAAATTAATTTTCGGCTCACAGCGACATAAAACGCGAAATTTCACATATGTTTCTCGCCTTAAAATATATTCCTGCTCGTGATCGACCACCAGTTTCAAAAGTGCGACCAGTAAACTGACAAAAGTTTTGTTTCTTGAGCGCTGATTTACATGAAGGGCATTGACAAAACTTCAAGTAAGTCACCCACTAGTGACCAGCGTTACACGTCAGATGTGACCATTTCACTGTGACATGTCACATGTGACCAGTGTTACATGTCACATGAGACCAGTGTTACATGTCACATGTGACCAGTGTTACATGTCACACGCGACCAGCGTTACATGTCACATGTGACCAATGTTACATGTCACTGTGACATGCCACATGTCTTCAGACAAGTACCGCCTGAACTTCTCCTAATGAAGATCACATTACTCCCTTAAGGCTTATGCTTGATCTAACTCAAGTTAGCTTAAACAAACATGAACCTACCATAAAAAGCACAAGTTGCAGTAGAATTCCTTTTTAAGAGTAAGTAGAAAGAGTATTTGTGTCAACATTTCCCTAATACGTAAAATAAAATTATTTCACCTTTCTCCGCTTCTCTGCGCCGTTCATTTGGTTGATGCTGGTCACATTCCTCACCTCTGTGAAAAAAGCTACAGTTATAAGTCTCACAAAAACTTGTGGCCGGGAGTTTTAACACTTTATAGCTGTGTTTTTACAGCAACTGTACACGTAGATAAAGAAACACACGTCCATGTACACCAGAAGGAAGTGACACTACTGCAATATTGTAAAGAACCGCTTCAACCGGTTCGTCTACCTTGTTCCAGGCCTTTAGCAGGTGAAACGCACCGTGATAATAAATAGCAGGATGGTCTTAGAGGAGTGAAATAACGAGGGAGGCTTGGGTCGGGTTGCGTTGAGTGACTTAACCCAAACCTCCTTGATTTTGGCTCTGCCGCTACTATCGGAGCAGGGCGAAGAGATCGGGCCATTTACTTCTTCGCTCCGTTTCACTAACTGAATGCACGGAACAGGCTAATAATGTTCATCATGAACCAAAATCAAGTAACAATCTGTCAGCAACAGCAATCATTCAGCAGCTGTACCATTAGTAACAGTAGTACATTCCATTTCTATTCAGTATAAGTCCACCTTTAACGGCTGTTTCTACAATATTTTTAGTGCAGTATTAATCTACATTTGTAAGTAAAAGTATCTTTGTCAAGTCTCCCAGAATGGAACAAAGTAAGTTGTAAATTGAAAGCGATGACTTTTATCATAGTAAACTTTCATGGTAGATTTCTTGGTACAAGAAACACAGCTTTGAATTTCCCGTTTGCCATCAATTTGTATTGTGTACTGTGTATTGCGACACAATGGCCACAGTTATTCCTGGTAAGTACTATTCTCCTGGGAAACAAGTGGACGACAGTGTAGCTATTACAGATAACCAAATCACATGATCTAAGTCCAAACAGAGACTAACAAAGAAATATTTAGCTGCATGTACAATGGGTAGGGTAATGTTAGAATAATGCTGTGGCATATTAACAGTACTCAAATAATAAAAAAGTTAGAAAAATTGAAACTTCATAATATTTTTTTTCTTTCAATTTTTCACACCTGCTTTTTTAACTACCTATTAAGTTTATGGGTCTGATGAATAAAGGGGGTAAGTTTCTAAAGAAACTGTGGTGCTGCGTTGGTAGGAGAGTATAACAGGGTAATTTGGTATCATCAACTGAGTTAAGAACAAAAATTAACTACTGTTAAGAGTTTCAAAGCTGATGTTTAGAGCCTCATACCAAATTACCCTGTTCAAAAGGTCTAGTTTCCTTGCACCAAGGAAAAATAGATGCCAAAGAAACCAAACAAAATGTCATTTAATGACAAGTACTGACCTATTTGATCCATCATCAAGTGAGTTAGGATGCTGGTCTTGGTGTGCTGCTTTTACAAGAGTGCTCAGCAAGTACTCAAAATCTTTCTGTATCTTCTTTAATCTCTTTTTAGCTGTTTCATTCTCTTCACCAAAGACAGAAGAAAGAGATGAACAAAGTTTAAGTGCCAAGGGAAGAATATCTTCCAGCTTTTCAATACGGTCTGTGTGCGCAAACATAACCACTGGAAACTTGTCATGAAAGTGTCCATTGTGAGAATTTTCCAGACACAATGTTACAGCTTTCTCAAGCAAAGAGAGAGTTCGTTGTGTCCATTCATCTATTGATTCAGAGCATTTAATACTTTTTTCATGCAGAACCTGAGCCAGATGAATGTACAACTGAAGTTTGGGTTTAAAATAACCCACTTGTTCCTCATGTATGGACAGACACTTCTCCAGAAAGCTGGCAGCATTTTCAATATTTCCAAATTCATGATGAATGCAGCCTAGTTCTAAGTACACATCACCAAGGAACCTCCTTGAAGAATCGTTTGTTGTATTTTGTTCCATCTCCTTTAAAGCTCTCTTTTGAGCCTCAAGTGCTTTGTTGAAGTCTTCCATTCTTCTGTACACATAACCTTGCCAATGATGGCAAATGGCAGATGACATCTTTGTGTTTCCATCCATAATCTTAAATTTACATGCTTTCTGGAAACACTTCACAGCTTCTGAGAAGTGTCCAAGGTGACTATCAATGACACCAACTTGAAAATGACACTGTCCTAGGAAAGACGAATGGGTGGAGAGTCCATGTGTATCAAATCCTTTGATGGCATTTTCCAGGGCATTCTTAGCTTCAAGAAAATTCTCTTTTCCAAAGAGAAACATACCATAATCAAACCAAGTTTCAGATGAATCGATTTTCAGCAGATGTTGGAGTTGTAGAATAAGTTGACAAGTCTCAATGTAAAATTGTGGATTATCAGCCTGATAACTTTGCTCTGCCATAAGCTTCAATGAGTATGAAAAGTTTACCTTTCTCTTTCTAGATTGAGCAAAGTGGTCTTGGCTCTCCATTCTGGCTGACTGAAGCATGTCCTAACATCACAAATAAATAAATATTAAGATAACAATTAATAAATAAAATAAAAAAATGGTAGCCTTTTAGAGCAAATGGCTTTCTTAATGCTGTATCACCATTATCACCCTAAGATTAGTCTCCAAATTCTCCAAACTCTTCTATATATTTCCATTGGTAGTTGCTAGAAGAATTTGTCTAACAATCAAAAGTTTGTGATAATTTCCTTTATTCTCATGACCATAATGTTTGATTCAAGGGAGAAACTGTTAGGAGAAATTAGATGCTTATCATTCTTAGGGGTTAAAGAAAAATTTCATACTAAATGGCAATTTTTTGGTGACAAAAATTTCATGCCACAGTAAGGTAACATCCAACGTTTTAACAACCAAAGAACTTTCAAACCCCTAAAACTTTTAAAAAGTATAAAATAACTAAAAAACTGAGAAATAACTGAACAAATTTGGCATTACTGGCCTAGCAATCACCAAGTTTTATGTCCAAAATCAAAAAGTTCAACATGGAGTTTGGGAAAGAACTTGATAAATATATCCATTTTGCTAAACAATACTGTGTGAGACCGTATTGGAGAGCCGTCTTTCTACCTCTTATCGAAATAGAAAATTTTCTAATAAAAGGTTCACAAAGATTAATTCTTGTCAAAGCTTAGCTACAGTAGGGCTCATGCCATGTAAACTGCCCAAGTATAATGCAGTTAAACTGCACAGTCCATGAATGAAGCACAAGAAGAACCTGCACAGTTCAGGAAAGTAAGCCTAGCCTAAATTAACCTTGGTCACAAAAATCAATACGATGGATAAAACAAAAGGAATAAGAAATGAACTTGACACCTCATGTTTCCTTTGTTCACCACATTGGTAAAAGGCAAGCAATACATGCAAGTCCCTCTTTAAAACCCCTGGACAAAGTCTCTATGGTTTCAAGTGGTATTATAGCACAAAATAATTCTATAAGGCTAAAAGAAAATCCTTCATCCCTTTAATACAATCTTTGGCTTTCAGTGGTATCACACAGACCTTGCTGCCCTCTTTCTGCAGGACATGATCTTGACCCAAATATTTTACCATCCAGTCCTCTCAATTAGTCAGTAAGTACATATTATTAATTGCAACTTTATACTATTATTAACCCTTTAGCCCCAAAAGAGTGATTAGCATCTAGTTTCTCCTTTCAATATCACCCCTGAATCAAACATTAAAGTTATGGGAATAGCAGAGATGATCACTGACTAAAGCAGCTCTTGACTGTTACACAAATTCTCCTTGTCAGCCTCTTTAGAAATATATAAAGAACAGTATGGAGAATATGCATACTGATGTTAGGAGGTAAAGGGTTAAAAAACATGTGACAAGAGTTGGACAAATGGAGGGTTGCTTTTGAGGTTGTAAAACTTACATGCATGTTACCTAAAGCAAGTCTATTCATCTCTGATCACAAAGAAAGGAAAATATAAACTTCAGAGTAATTGTCATATGTCTACTGAAATTGTTCATTCAGGTTGGCAATTATTTGTATATTTGCATATATATCAAGTAAATTTAGCGATTAAATTTCAAGCTTGAGATTTTTACTGCATGTTACAGCCTGTATATGGTAAGCTAAATTATGTGCAAATTTTGATCAGTTCTAAATTATAACCTATTGGAGGACAGATGTATTTTATATGATGTCACCATAAACTACGTTTTGCTTTAATTTCTATCTTATGAAACAAACAGATTTCATTTTGCCATGGGTATGTGCAGTAAAAGATCAAAATGTGGTAAGGACATAGGTGACAAACTCAGCTGAGCCTGGGTGCCCTTTTTTGTTCTTACCACATTTTCATGTCATCTGTGATCTATTACTGAACAGACACACAACAACATGAAATCTATTTGATAACCCTTTCATTCCCAAGATCTCTGTAGAAGTTCTCCTTACTGTCTGCCTTGTAATTCTCAGTCTCGATTCTCATGATCTTTGAAAAAAAAAAAAAAAAAAAAAAAATTAAAAATTAAATAAAAATACTCCTTGGTATAGCTCAATTTCACTGATATACCGTTATTCCTAGTGGCCTTAGAGAGTGAGTTTGGTATCCAATTAATGGTATTTTTCCCCATTCTTATCACTTGTGTACTTGATATAGTATTGAAATTGTGAGTGGAAATCCTGTCTTGGTCACTCTTGTGAGTAAAAGGGTTAAATAATTGATTAGGGAGAATCTTACATAAACTATCATGCAGAGAGATTTCCAGTTCAAAATCAAACTGTTTCAGTATAAATCTACTTATTGCTATCCAACGAGACAGGCTCATGTATTTATTTAATTTTTTTAACAGCCGCACATTGTTAGGCCACCCTTCTGGCTCATTATCTATCAGAGAACAGATAGCAAGAGGTGTAGTCTACCAAGTTGCAACATTTGTAATACAACGCTTATAAATAACTAAACTTACCACCCCGCCGTTGGCTCTCAACCATGATTCAATATGGCGGCAATAATAGTGTGTTATCGATTCCACAACAGTCTCCATTGCTGCAACACCTAAATGCTCCTTTGACTCACAGTAAGCAGCTAGCGAAGCTCCAAAACCAAGGAATGCTGCCACAGTACCTAAATGCTGTTTTTCTTTGAAGATCAAGTAACCCATTTCCTTGACCACCGAAGGTAAGCTTTCAAGGGAGATACGAAAATTATTTTGGTAGGCCGCATCAGAAAATAATTGAGTGTGTTCCATAATAATGCGGTCTGCTGCTGCAGTACTGAAAGCTGCCTTGATTTTACGATTCCCATCCGCTATGTCCTCTCCAAGAAACTTGATTATCAATCCTGCACACTGCGAGGGACAATTGGCTTCCCCTCTGTAACCATTTTGGAGAATAGCGGAAAAGCGACGCTGCAGGACTTTATGACGGGCGTAGCTATTTACTATATCAAATATTACTGGATAGAAGTCTGACTGTGTCATTTTTTTTCTCAGTTTAATCATAAACTGGAAATTTGAATGGGAATTTCCGTGTGCTCTTCATCTTCGGCCATTTTGTTAACCTCGCATTGAAGTCGGATGCATAATATATTAGTACACCTTGTGTCCACTACACAACATATAGAGCTTAATTTTTTTTTTATTTTGCATTACCAAAGGAACCTCGCCTCCCTTTCACTTTGGGGGGTCAGAAAAGGTGGGAACCTCAAATTCGTACTTTTATTATTTACTTAGTATCTTGGTCACTACGGTTAGGAGTAGGGCTGTGATCTCGACAAAGGAAATGGGCCACGGAAATAGGTTTTTCCAAAATTGTTATTGGGCCCTATGATCTTAACAAATCGCGCAGGTTCTTGGAAACAATATCACTGCTGGAGAACTTAGGGCAAAGAATTAAAAGAAAAAGAGATAAGTGCAGGTTAGGTGACAGAAAATACGGCCTCAACATCTTCTACATAAACATGAAGAACAGAGTTGCTCTTATGAACAAGGTAGAGAGTAAACTTGAGGCACTCAAGAAACTTTCAAGTCAGCTTGTGACGATAACACAAACGAAAACTTCACGAACGACCCACTGGCATACACAGGAGAGAAAACACAATCAAGCAAGTCATTCCCCCCTTTTCTCATCTCTTATGCGGAGAATTCGTAATAACACTGAGGTCTGGTCCATAAAGCCAACGAGACCCTCTTTAAAAGTCCAGTCTTGCCTGTACCCCTGTCCCCTTGGCAAACCAAGATTTTAGGCCTATAGGGGTGGCGGAGACCTCATTTACCCCCTGCCTTTAAGTCGTAATAAGAGGTAGCGCGGAAAATCAGACCCCTGCTATAAAGTCCTCTGATAGATAGGGAAAAACCACAAATTTTTGTAGCTCGAGAATAACGCTTTTCGAAGTGTTCATAAGAGACGTAAAGATGCTTAAAAAGCTTTTGTGGCTCCCTTCCAGTTCAGCAAAAGCTCGTTTGATAAAACTAAGCCAAAAACCGTTTCAAGGAGAGATAACTTAGCGAAGAGATTAACAATTTTAATGATAAATTGTGGTTCTGAAAGGTCGCCTGGTCTCTTTATTCGAAAGAAGTCGAGTGCAACGAATTTAGGGTCAGTTAAGACTAAGAGAGAATGAGAATACGATTACAAAAAAAAAAGATCAAATTTAGTAATTGCAGATTTAAAGTCAGCACGGAAATAGACTAAATGAAGTTTGACAAGAAAAGCCGTCTACCAGCATATATTTTTATATCTCATGTCACGCTATAATCTACGCTACAGAAAGAACACTACATATTTTCCTATTAACTTTACTACTGACAAACTTACAGTTTTCTCCAAAGTTCCTTGGAATGAACAATATTCCACTCTAACTCTCTCTCGGTAAAGCTTTACAAATATTTCATAACAACAACAACAACTCATACTACGCGACTAAGTCCTTATGTACAATTACAAAGCATTCTAGAGAATCCCGGAAGCTTACAACATGACTATTTTGGTAGCATTACATCATAATTACGATCCAGAAAGTTCCATAGCATGCACGTCAGCATAGAAATTCCTAGATATTTATAATACAGCTATTATCTATAACTCACTTATGATACCATTAATTAAAAATAACTACAGTCACAAAACAGTTAATTTTTACGCCTTAAACTCTATCAGCACCAAGAAACAATCAGCATTTTTAACGTCCAGCCAGGACAATCCTTATTAAATCGTAATTAATTATTATCCTAAATAAAAACTCTAGCAAATATGACGAAGGGTAAACTCTTTTCAAACGTAATTGATTAATTCTTCACGCTGAAAGTCTCTATTATCATTCACATATTCAACGATACCTTTCAGGTATTACTAAACCAATCTACGATACGAATATACTTCTTATTTTTCAATTTCCAAGGAATTAAAAAAAAACAAACAAACAAACATATACACTGCACTTCCGCGGATGAGCGTCCGGGAGCTAATTCACAATTTCTACTAAAAAGGAGGAGGACGCGTAATTGAGGGAGGTTCTAGTTAAGAAGGTTTACTAATTCCGCAGTTGTTGTAGCTTAACAATAAAGGAGAACAAAATAGAAGCTGTTGTTCTCTAAGTACCAGATGGTCGTCTCTCAGGCGGGCTTTCAACAGTTTCCTCTTCATCTGAGACCTAAGACGCAGGAACAAAGAAAAATCATGAAAAAAAAATTTCAGGCATGTGATGGTTATAGTTAACCTCCCAGTTATTTAAACCCCAGTTTCTATGGAAAGGCTTGGATTGTCCTCTGTGCGGTGCGACGAAAAGTAGGGATTTAAAAGTTTCAGCAAAGAACGTTTGAACATTTCTACATCCTAGAGAAACATTGTTTTTGTCTTATCACGAGCGTGGGACAAAGAGAAAATTATGAGTTCTGAGTTCTGAGGAATCGAACATCAAACCTTCGGATTCCACGCTCCGATGCTACACCACTGAGCCACAAAGACTCCATGGTGAGCGAGGCCGATCACGAAGTTAATACTTATCATATAAACTACGGTATTAATCAAGGATTTCCAGCACTGAGAAAAGCCGGAAAAACACACGTGGAAAAGTATCGTATTTTCCACGTGTGTCTGATATCGCCAATCAGCTGCTGACACGTCACTCGCCTTTCGCGCCCATGTATTATTCTGCACTTAATTATTTTAATCATAACCAATACAACTTCCTCAAATGTGATTCGTGCAGTAGCTGCTTTACTTTTCACTAATTATTCCGTAGAGTTATAATCGGAAAGTGTAAACGGACAGCTGGCTGTAATCGGACAGTTGAAGCAACCAATCATACCTAGTTCTTTCGGTCAAATCCATCAATCACAGAATTGATCACAATAACCATAGCAACAACCACATCCTAAAAAAGTTGTGGAATTTCCAAAGTTGAGGAATTTTTTACTTAGACATTGTCACTATTTTGTTCTCTTAAATCAAAGGGCGATCTAACAAAGTAACCGCGTACAACAAGCCATACCACAAAGTTCATCCCAAATGAAGTTCTGTGATATGTAAACTTACAGTGCTCCATGACTGCTCGTCACCACTTGCCTCACCACAACTGGATGTACCAGCAAACGTACAGTTTCTCTCCTTCTTTGCACTCAAATTATTGACACGAGCCCACAGCTGACGATTTCTCTGAAACATTGTTTTCGTATCAACACATTAATGATTATTTTCAAATCTAAGCTCAAGTTTTGATTCAACTTAAATTCCGTGTCTGTTCCCACCTCTAGCACATTACAGATAATTACAACATTGCCTATGGACGGAAGTAATGGCAGTGATTTCTTAAAGGATAGGTATAATCTAGAAACCACCACATTTTCATCTTCGTAGTCAGCAAGTATGCGTTCAAAATCTACAACTTGCCGCAGCTTGAGAATGTAAAGAGTAACTTAACTGCTTAATCCTTCACCACAGAAGGCGCCATTTAAGAAAAAACAAACAAACAAACAAAGTTACAGCTCTGGTTATCGCAGAAAAAATTATCTTTTGAGTCAAAAATGATTTTTGGTTTAGTGCCTTGAAATCTTTGAACCGATCACTCTTTACCGCTAAGAGTGACTGACATCTAATTTCTACCCACAAAATTCCTCTTGAATCAAAGATGAAGGTCATGAGAATAGAAGAAACTATCACTAACAAAATAAGTTCTTAGTTATGAACAAATTTTCCGTGCCAGGATCTTATGAAGAAATATAAGAAAAAAATTATTGAGATGCATACCGCTGTTAGGGCGTAGAAAGGGTTAAAATCAAACTAACTGTGTACAAACAAAGTATAATTTGAAAGAGATGTAAGTGATTTTGAAACTTATCTCATGTTTTCCCAGCACCCCAAGTGGGTTATCATGCCGATAAACCGATAGAAAGTGTAGCCAATTGCTTAGTATTGATAAATTTTGGGCACTTCTATCAAAGAGTGTTCTAACAAAATAACCGCATACAGCAAGTCATAACACAAAGGTCATCCTAAATGCAATTCTATGATTTGTTAACTTACAGTGCTCCATGACTGTTCATCATCTCTTGCCTCCAAACATCTGGATGTACCGGCAGTTGGAAAGTTTCTCACAGCCTTTACACCCAAGTTATTGACACGAGCCCACATCTGACGATTTCTCTGAAACGTTGTTTTTAAATATTTAAATACTACCGATTCTAAGCTCAAGTTTTCATTCAGCTTAAATTAAGAGTCTCTTCCTACCTCTAACAAGACAGTGTTATTATCATAACTGTTTGATTTCGTAAAGGAGAGGTACAATCTAGAAAAAGATCATTTTTATCTCCGTCGTTGAAATCTACGACTTACCACAGTTGAAGAATCTTGAAATTAGCGCAACTACTTAACTCTTGACTATGGAAGGTACCAGTTTGAAAAAAGCGCAGTAACCTGGCCATGCGCAAAGGGCGTGGAGCACTGCGGGTACTCCTCATTTGAGTGGCAAATGTTTTTTTTTTTGAAGTGCCTTACAATCTTTAAACATATCATTCTTAACCATTAAGAGTGACTGGCATCTAATTTCTCCCAACAATATCAACCCTGGATCAAAGATGAAGGCCATGAAATTAGAGGAAGTGATCACCGAAAAAAGAAACTCTTGATTGTGAACAACTTCTCCTTGTCAGGACTTTATAGAGAAATGTATGAAGAACAATATGGAGGATTTGCATACCGATGTTTGGGCGAAGAGGGTTAAAATCACGCCAACCGTGCACAAACAAACTATAATAATGTACACGAAAAAATTACGCGCTTCTGATTGGCTGAAAACGTGTGCATTCTCATATAACTGGAGTACAAAGTTGTAACGCGAGTGCAGAGTTGTAACAGGGTTGTAAATTACAAATAGCGCGCGCACGCTCTCAAAATTTCGTCTGTCTTAACTTTGTGTGATGTTTTTTCATGTACATTGTAAATTTTTAAAAGACTAAAAATTGCACTTGCCCTACGGGCTTGTACAATTTTGTTACCTCTCGTGCTTATTGACATCAAATTGCATTCGAAATCATGTTATTGCCTATATTAATTTGAGAGAGAGACACGTTCAAGTACACATGTCATACAACACTGACACCTCACCTTGCACAGATCTTTATTCCTTTTACTCAATCTTTCTCTCTTGATTTTTTCCTCTGCGATGGAACGTTTCAAAGTTTTCACTCTCTGCTTTTCTTTCGCCAACATATGTTCCATTTTCTTCGTTGTATTGGTCTTAGCTTTCAGAAATGCTTGCGTTGCTTCTTCCTGTACCCTTTTTTGGTATTCTTCTCGACATTTATTCAGCTTATCCGTGACAAAGTTTATTACCTTGTCAAAAGAAATTAAATATTATAAGTCAATCAAACTTTTAAATGAATAAAGGGGGTAAGTTTCTAAAGAAACGGTGGTGCTGTGTCGGTAGGAGAGTATAACAGGTAAATTAGTGTTAACAACTGAGTTGAAAATGTAAATTGGCCACAGTAAAGAGTTTAAAGACTGACGTTAGAATGAGCAATCGCTCTGACGAAGGGCTAACGCTGGAAACGTCAGCCTTTAAACTCTTTACGGTGGCCAATTTACGTTTTCAACTCAGTTGTTAATTAACACTAAATTACCAATCAAACTTACAGTTCACTTTCTAATATTCTCTCACTTAATTCCTCTCTTAAAAAATTTGTTTGCTTGTTTGACGATTGCATGCCGATTCAGGGCAGCATTCGTGCCCAACATAAAAAAGAATGAGACAGACTCTATGACTAAGTTAGTGTGTGGTGTATGTTTAACACAGTTTCGTTCAACCTGAATTTTTGTGAACAAAAAGGATATTTGGGCCACGACATCGCACAGTTTCATATGATATTATTGAAAGAAATTAAAGGCTTATGTGTAAGCGATGAACAACTGCAGATTCCAACCAATTTAGTGCAGAGTCCATTACACGTACTTTATTTTACTTAAAAGGGTTTAAAAGAAACCTAATACTCATGAAATGGATTTTGAACAAAAATTTAAACCTACCCGGAAAAAAAAACAAACAAACAAAACCAGCTACATGTTTTATTACTTAACAAATCACATTTTCAAACCAATTTTACCTCACCACCCTTTAGAGTTTCCTGATCTTGTTCTTGAATGTCCTGCAAGTAGGTACAAGATGTAAAAATAAATTCAAAACACTTTCATGGAAACAAAAATACAGAAATAAGAGTCTGTCAACATACACAGCTGAGTTGTTTAGCCCAATAATGTAAAAAAATAAGTAAATAAATAAATATTATTATAATATCAATCTTGATAGGAAACCCAAAGGGCCAGTTATTTAAACAAAGTTTAGCCATTGTTTAACAAAACTGCGTTCTAAGCCACCTTCAATTTACCCAAACTTTTTGTCTTAACTTTTATTTTTGTGAACAAAGTCAAAGTAAGGGCTCAAAGCTAAAAGTCCAAGTACATTTATTTAATTCAATCAACCCTCTCATAGAGAATCCCTGAGGCCCACTGCTTGCATAAAACCACAGTTTGGGTTAGACCTTGTGTAAATAACCAGCCCTGAAAGTTTAGAACTGTTTCCCAATGTGTCGCATAAGCAATACAGTGTTAAAGCTGATAAAGGGGGTAAGTTAGATCTAACATAACTGTGCTGCTGAGTCAGTAGGGAATATAACAAGCTAAGTAGGTTTTATCAACTGAGTTGATAAAGTAATTGACCACCATAAATGGTTGCTAAAGCTGGCATTTTGAGCACTAACATTTCACCAGAGCAAAGGGCTTATGCAGGGCTAATATGCTTGCAATGTTAGCTTCAGCACCCCTCAGAACCCTACACATACAGTGTCCAATTAATTTACATCTTATCAAGTCAGTTGATAAAACCAAATAATAGTGTTAAAATTTGTCACTCAAGTGCGAGATGAGATACATTTGGTTGGAAAATCGAATGAGATACATGTGTATGTAAGAATTTAAGGGCAGTAACATTAATTCCCATTGAAAGCAGAACTACTGTTATAGCACTTAGGTTGGCTACCATTGGTTACTGACATGCTTACCAACAGCTATAATTGCAAAATGTACATGTTGTGTCAAAACACACTTTCTTCCTAACATTAGTCAGCCATGTTGTTTTTGTATCAAGTGATATTTGGAAGTGTTGCTAAAGGATAGTAAACACTTTTGTAACCCCTGCTCCACAAGGCCATAACAGTAAAAATTACCGGTACATGTATTAAAAATTGAACATATTTAGTAAATTAATTAATTGAATAATCTACCTCTTTTAATTTCTTACATTCAGCCTCCTTCCACTGGATCATCTAAAATGTTTAAAATAAGGATTATTACTGCAAGATTAATCAAAAGGTTCTAAACTCACAAAGGTTACAAAGGAAGGATTCCCTCATCACACTTGTCATCTGAACAGCTACATGTATGCCATGTATGCAAGGCTCAAGCTATTAAGGAGAAGGAGAGGGAAGAGGAAAAAGGGACAGAAAAGGTAGAGGGAGAGATGGTGAGACAATGAGAGAGGTAAAAGGGAGAGAAGAAGAGGATAGGAAGAAAAGAAAGAGGGAAATAAATGGGAGGAAGAAGATCAAGGGGAATGAATGGCTCATTCCAAGCACCCAATCAGTGCAGATGAAAAAAATGGAGAACAAAATGAAAGGAGAACAAAATTGAAGGGAGAACAAAATGAAGGGTGAAGAGGAGGTGGAGTTGTGCGAGATGTTTGATGTGATGAATGAAAAGAATGCCCATAAAGAGATGAAGAATGAGGAAAAGAAAGGAAAGAGGTTGTCTTGCACACCACCATATTGAAATGCTGTTATCTCAATCTTCATGACAACTCCTAGATATTATCCTTGCGGCTAATCCTGTTGACATTGCAAAAAATGCTTGCTGTCCATCAAGCTTCCCTCTATTGAATAACAGTATTCCTTAAATGCTTGTGGAAAACATACTGCAGTACAATGTGCTCAAATAAATGTGATTAATTAATAAATAAAACAAACCTGTACTAGTTTTCTTATCAACTCATTATTCTCGTCTTCTCTGGCAGCACTTTCCTCTAAAAGTTGCTCAAACTATAAGAAAAAAGCCACGAGCCAATGACACACTCACATACAGTACACAAAACAAAACACAACGTAATACAATGTTACCCTTGATGACTGGTCCCCAGAGGGAAACATTTGAAAAATTACCCCTTACTCAAAGCAATAGGGGAACTATTTATCACAGAAATGCTTGGAACCTTAATTTAGCCACACCCATCAATCAATCTATCAATCAATCAATCATATGGGACCAATCTATCAATCAATCATCCTCTTCCTTCAAGGTCATGCGATCTATAAACAGCCAATAATATTCAGAGAAAGGGGAACCATAATATAATTCATTAGGCTAAATTTTATAACCTGCAGGGTTTAACTGATGTGAAATCTATAAATACCAGAAATGCCAGATTTAAATTTAAATACCGTTTCACGTTCTGTCCGTGCATCTTGAAGGCTATGAAGGACTTCATCTCTAAATTGCTGTTAAGAAAAAAATGTACTTATATAAACTAAGGAATTTGATCTCTTACATTTAAATTATAGTTTGACTTCTTGATATCCACAACTTGATTGAACAGAACTTGGCCTTAATTGTACTCCAAAAAAATTACAATTCTGAGCTGTTTTTTTTTAAAGTTACATTTAACTGTCTATGTTAAGAATCTTAAGTAAAAATGGAAGCTATGGAAGCATAAGTTTACACATTATAGATAAAAAGTTACATGTAAGGCATCAAAACGAAACTCTGTAGAGGTGCAATCCAATGGCTACTTTTGCTGCTAGAACAGATGGTAAAAACCACACAATTACCCTTATAATTCACCCCCTCTCCCTAGAAGTTAATACACATAGGCAAGACAACTAAGCCTAAAAAAAGACTACCTCCAAATTCTGAATTTCCTGTTTGTACTGGGAAACAATGTCAAGTTCTTCCGTCTTTTCTCTTAATTCCTGAAACCAGAAAAGAAGACTATAAAGTACTAATACAAGGCATACAAGGCATGGTGCAAAGCCTGCAAGGCATAAAGACAAACTATAGAAACAATTTCCAACTGTCAGGAATGTATAACAATGCAACTACACATCCTTAATATTAACATAGACAACCTAAGGGATGACTGTATTTCTTTGTAATAATTGCTATTTTAGTGGAGAATATAGACTGTATTTCATCACAATTATTTTTCTTATTGATCATGGGTTACAGTGGTTCCTCTCACATTCTACCTTTTATTCTTAATGCAATGTGGTATAACAGCTTTCTACTATGAAATAACTACATTATGAAAAAAGAAGGCATAGTAAGTATGGGCATATTTGCATCATGTAAATGCATTAAAATGTTGCAAAATCCTGTTTAGTCAAATTTACAAAAGACAAAAGCCTTAAGAATAACAAGTGACAAGGATGCTCAATTCCCACAAGAAAGATTGTACAAGGAATGATTCTACACATGAACATGTTGAGAGATTGGGATAGAAAATCCATCTAAGTAGGGGAGAGAAAGTCAAAATTTGTTCGTTTGACGTAGACTTTGACCACAATCCAATATCACATGATTGCAGTTATTCTGCAAGCATTTCTCAGAAGCACAACAATACATAACTATAATACTTTTTATATATTTCCATGTAAAAAGGTTTCCTTAAAAACATGCATTTTTCAATGGCTCACATGCCTCGCATGCCTTGCCTTCTTGCTATTTGTAATTAAGAACCAGAAAAGATTGTTGAACATTTTATATAAATCAATTATATTACTATCTGGGTGCACCATTTGGAAGCCTTATGTTAGCAAAACAGTCAAGAGAGATCAAAATTAACAGTAACCATTAATCTAAAAAAATTATTGATCACAACTTGCATTCATTAAATTTGATTTACTTTGTACTAAGGTTCTACTTTACCCAGATTCAAGATCAATTTCTATTTTGTTTTTGTTGATCATCATAGTGAAATTGCATCAAAAGGAAATTATAATTGAGAAAAATAGGTTTGTATGTACCTACCTTGACAAGAAACATAGCATTTTGATGTAAGTTGCCGTTGTCTGTTTTAAATTGTTCACATTGCTTCTCAAGAGACTTGATCAACAAGGTTGTTAAAACAACAATAGTTAGTCATAATGTATAAAAACTACTTGACTGTAGAAACACAAAGCAAAGTGGACTCAAGGGACATTTAAACAAATTTATTCCTCCACCTGAGAAATGCTGGAGCAGTCTCTATTATAAGTTAACAGCTAGGGTGGTGTAATTTGTTGCAGTACAAATAATTAATACTACTAATAATTACTATTGTTATTATTTTTTTTAATCATTATTATCATAATAAAAATGTTACTAAATATTTGATCATATTTTCTTTACTTGATGAATAACACAAATAAATCTTATATACAGTAGATTATGATCCAGAAAAGTCTGATACTCAAATTAAAATGACATGTATAATTCTGAAAAATGCCAAATCTTCATACCAACATTTAGACCCAACTGTCATACACCAATTTTCACAAACTATGTTTGAACTTTCTTAGCTTTTCTAAAATTTATTCATAAAATAGGCAAAAAGGTTATTAATACCTCAATCTTACTCTCCAAATCCTCCACCTGACCAGTTTCCTTCTCCAGGTCCTTGAGAGAGGTGACATTAGTACATTCAATCGTGAAATTATTTTTGACAAAATAAATCAGAAGTGTAGTTACTGTAATAAAAACATTGAAGATAGGCTGCAAATCTGCCCAATACCTGAACTTTGTTTTCAAGAGCCTCTATCTGCCTGGCCTGATTCTCTTGGTCCTGCATTCAAGTGATATAAGGATCATTATAGTCAATATTTTCTTACTGTGAATCAAACATATCTCAAGATATTCTTGGTTGATTACGGGCCATTCTCTGAAATTAACTATACAGAAGGAGAGAAAGAAAAGGATGGGAAGGAGAAGATGAAGGGGAAAGAATTATAACTAATTTCAAGCAAGTGACATGCTCAGGAACAACTATTATTGCAGAATGCAGTGTCAAAACACATTTTTCGTTTAGAAGTTAGTCAATGGTAAAGTTGTTTGTAAAGTTGACAAGTGATATTTGGAAGTACTGCCAGAAGTAGGTCAATGCCTTATTGCAACCCTTATTTTATAAGGTAATTGTAGTAAATTAATATTAAATTGAACATATTTGGAATATTCAAAAAAGAATCTACCTCCTTTAATTTATTGCATTCACCCTCCTTCCACTGATACATCTAAAATGTTTAAAAGGAGAAAATTACCATTGATGAGTGTTTTGCACATCGCAACTTATTTGCACACAGTAAAATAATGTATGTTAGTTAACAAAACCCTGTTAGACTGGCCTTACACCAGGTGGAGGAGTTGGAAACCAGAATTGTTAGTAATGTTAATTCCTTTGTTCTTTTATAATATTTTCTTATTTAATGTTTTTTTTTAATTTGTGATGTAATGTATTTTCTTTTTCTCTGTAACTTGAGTATAAATTGAACAAAGCAGAGTTCTGCAATCTAAAACTGTCAACATCTCTCCCAAAGGGATAGATATCCAATTCAATCAATAAGATTAATCAATATTCCTAAACTCACACAGCATGATTACAAAGGATCATCACACTAGTCAAACATTTGAAAAGCTCTGATAGAACAATTAGGGAAAGAAGAGGGGGAAGTATAGGGGGACAGGAAAGGTAGATGAGAAAAAAAGAGGGGGGGGGGGGTGAAGAGGTAGGAAGATGAGGACAAGGAGGGAGGAAAAAAAGGGGAAAAGATGGAAAGGAAAAGTTGAAGGGGGAAGTAATTAAAGGAGGCGTAGAGGTATAGGGGGCAGGAAAGGTAGAGAAGAGAACAAGAGGGGTGTAGGGGGGTAGGAAGAAAGGGATCAGGAGGAAGAAAAAAAAGGACAAAAATTGGAAAGGAGAAGTTAAAGGGGAACAGGGGAAAGGGGGAAGGAAGTAATGGAGAGGATAAGGAGGGAGGAAAAAAAAAAAGGAAAAAGATGGAAAGGAGAAGTTGAAGGGGGAAGGAAGTAAAGAGAGGGTGGAGGTAATGGGGGCAGGAAAGGTAGAGGAGAGAACACAAGGAGTGTGGAGAGGTAGGACAAAGAGGACAAGGAGCAAGAAAAGAGGGAAAAAGATGGAAAGGAGAAGTTCAAGAGTAAGGAAGTAAAGGAGAGGGTGGACATATAAGGGGCAGGAAAGGTAAATGAGAAAACCAGAGGGGGGTGAAAAGGTAGGAAGAAGAGGATAAGGAGCAAGAAAAGAAGGAAAAGGATGGAAAGGAAAATTCGAAGGGGAAGGAAGTAAAGGATAATACAAGGTCATGTTGAGATAGGAAATTTCTCTTTGAGTATTAAAAAATATTTCACAAGTAAGTGGAGAAGCAAGTAAAATATTTTTTAAAACGAGAAGAGCAATTTCAAATCTCCAAGTGGCCATGTAATTTTCTATTTTCTATGTTAACACCAATGAAATACTTAATCAATCAATAATATGATGATAACATGTCACTTTCATGTGTGGAGATATCATGTTTTGGTGTGAAAACGCACTTAGTACTTCATTGATGTTTATATAATAATAGCACCTTTCACACAAGCAGTTGGTAGAGACCTTGTTAAGAACAAAACCACTGGGTACGAAATGATCAAAAACCATCTGAATTCTCATGACTATATATATATATATACACCTACACTATGTCCATGAGGCTGATATTGTCCACAAATTTATATCATAAGAAGTGATTGATGCCTAAATCTGTTATTTATTGAATAACAGTGTTTCCTAAATGAACATCTCACTACAAAGTACTTAAATAAGTGTACTTAAAAAAAGAATCAAACCTGTTGCAGTTTTTTGATCAACTCATTCTTCTCTGATTCTCGGGTGGAGCTTTCCTAAAAAAGTTGCTCAGTCAGTATTAAAAAAAAAGAGCCACAAGCCAATGACAAACTTGCATATATTGACAAAACACAACATAACACATTATATTTCTTTTTATGATTGGTCCCTGGAGAAAAACATTGGATGAAAATGTATCCTGTACTAAAACCAATAAGGGTTCAAGTTAATTATCACAGAATTTCTTTGAACCCTGATTTGGCCTTACATATATGTGCAATGACCCTGAGACAGAAAACCATAACACCATCCCTCTTTGTGCAAAGTCCTGTGATCTATAATTAGCCAATCATCCAGAGAAAAATAATTCATGGGTATCTAATAATATACACTCGCCAGCATAACATAGTGGCCACAACTTCAAAAGTTGCGGCTCAGAAATTAACCTAAAATAAAGGAACGGCAGAAACCAGAGAAAAACTGGAAAAATATCTACAGGAAACAGCTAGAGTGCAAATAATTATTGATAATAATAATTAATAATAATAATAATAATAATAACAATGATGACAATTGAATGACCATCATATTTTCTTCACCTGATAAGTAACACAAAATATATTATAAACCAGATATGCAGGAAACTGACAACCACACTAAGATGACACAATTCAGAAAAATGCCAAAATTCCATACCAATATTTGCACAAATTTTCACAGATTGTGTAAAATAAGAAAAAAAACTTCTTAATACCTCAATCTCTTTTTGCAAAGCCTTCACCTCACCAGCTTTCTTCTCTACGACCTGTGGAGAGGTGAAAAGAGGACATTTAAAATAAAGTCAAAATTTTGACAAAATGAATCAGACAAAGACTAAGACAAGCAGTAAATCTGCCTGTTACCTGAACTCTTTTTTTTGAAAGTTTCTGTTTGAAGTTACATTCATCATGGAAGTATTTTTTATCTGTTGAGCTATGTACAGTACAGCATCGCTATTTTGCTCTAAATGCCACTATAATGTAGAAGTTGAACTCTATACTCTATAATTAACCTGTTTCAATAAAAATGCCTACCAAAAGACTCAAGAATTAAAAGTAATCTGAAGTACTGTTAGATCCTCACTGGTAATACATGTAAATGCTTTTAAAGAGTGGAACTGAAAGACTGGCTGTATATCTAAAATATAAAGGCTTTGTCAGTTTAAAGGCCAAATTTTCTGGAAATAAATGATAATGTGTGTCATACAAAACATTTTAACACTGAGAGGTTACTTAAATTAATCAAAACACACACCTTTTTAAGATCCTTATTTTCCTCTTGTAATTTCTTAAAGTAAACCTAGCATTAAAAAAAAATCAACGCATGTTAATAACTCAACTATGAACATTGCCTGCACAAAGTCATGTTTTTATATCTGTATCATATTGATGACAAAAAACTTCACTTAACCACAATGAACCATGTTAGAAAAGGGACAGTTTGATAAACTTAGTGTTAGCAGTTACATGCAGTTTGACAACAAACCTCTTTTGCTTCCCTAAAATCTTCAGTTAATAAGTTTGGCGCTGTATCTTGGCCCTGAAAGAAAGGGACACACATGACAGTTGTAAATACAAAGAAATACTCCATATTGAATTAAAGACCATGACCAAAAACAATAATGTTATTCAACAGGCTATTGGCTTTATATACCAGGATCAGAATTCCAATTTGAACCCTTTTGAATAAAAATATGTTCATATAAATATTAGCCATTAGGGTTGATATATTGGTTAATAGAGGGATTTCATCATGATTTTGGACAATACTAAAGGAATAGAGAAAAGAGATTGTAGAACTGTCTACAATTTTATAAAAACACAATCCATACTTACACTAACCAAAGGTAAGCTGTGATATATATGGTAATCACTGTGTTCAGCAGGCTTTCCAACTTGTTGCACCCAACTATCTTGTTTCCCTGGAGAAGGTAATACAATATGGAAATAAATAACAAATAGATCAAGAATTTAGGAAGTGATCTAGTAAATGTTAAATTAGGCATTTCAATTCAGTTTTCTTCATAATGGAGTCATGATCAATTAAGCTGATTTACCTGGATCAAAGAAAACACAAATCACCCCTGTTTAGAATCATTTCCACCTAGGCTCACTACAAACTGCAAAATAGCGCGACACCAAACAACTAAAACTGCAGAAAAACTGTCCCCTAGACTGAGTAGATAAGAGAACCATTTGAACCAACTTGTAGATGATTGCCCATAAATTACCTTTGTGATTATTGTACTCCCAGAAAGTTTGATTTTCATCTTTTTATTATTTATTCATTTCTTTTTTTACAAAAATAGTGTTCTCTGTTAGCAATACTATCATAAGCATTTAGACTGAAAGTCGTGGAAAACACAAACCAAAGACAAACCAAACCTGCTCCTCTGGGGGAAACTGATTTTGGATCTCCAGTGGGCATTTCTTTGACTGGCTGGCATCCAGAACCCTCAGAGCTGCCTGCACTAATTTCTACCTCCAGGTCGCTCACTGTCAGATGGACAGGAAAATTTTCAGCCAACTCTGTCCCCTGGTCACTATCTGTATCATGATTGTTACCCGTATCAACAGTTGGTTGTGGAAGCTGATGACAGTCACTTTTGGTTGAAGCTCCATGACTTATTTCATTTTGAGGATTCTCCCCAACTTTTTTCCCTGAAGAAGCTAATAAAAAAATGGATAAATTTAGTAAGGGATTTCTAAAAACTTTCATTCAATGTCTGTTAGTACCAGAAGTTCAGTAGATGGTCATAGAATAATTCTGTTTTATTCTCATAAATTGCCTGTTGGATATACTATGAGTATGTACACTCCTTATACCATATTTATTTACTTATATGGCGCACCATTTTCTACAAAAAAATATCCTTGTTTGATCAAAAATCTGCTCAAAACTTGGGGTGCATCTTATAACCGAGTATTTGCATGCAACAAAATATAACTTTTCCAAATTACCCTAATAAACTGAAATGAGTATGTAAATAAATATGACAAATCAGATAAAGTCAATGATCAACGTCGTTTGTCTTTTGTTTATTCATTTACCCAAATGGGTAAAAACGACGTTAATCATTGACTTTATCTGATTTGTTGTTTCTAAAAAGAACCGGGGTGGCTCTGTAAAGAACCGTTTGTTTGAAAGCTTGGCTGAGATTAAGATTAAGATGAGATTTGCAACTGATGAATGAAAGATCTGTCAGATGAGTATTGTTTATAAGCATAAAAATGGATCAATTAGTATTCATAACTCAAAACACTGTCTCCTGAGAAGCATGACTTGAGTGAATTAAAAAATGTGACTTTTATGCTATTTTCCATGTGAGACTTTTTTGCTTTTGTTTTGAGAATGAGAGCATTGTAATTAGTAAATTTTGGAAGCAAATTGTTGTAAGCACAGTGAATGTGGTCAACAAAATTCCCGTAATTCTGGGTGCGCTTTATAACAGCATATTTATATGAAATTTTCATTTTGCTCACTTGTTACAATTGTCTTCGAAAGTTTAGGGTGTCTTGTAACCGAGTGCACCTTACAAGTGAATAAATACAGTAACCTCTTTAAACTCACTGATATCTTACTGCATTAGTTGTTATTTTGAAAATAAATGTAGGGGGGAATGTCTGATATGACTCAAGTAGGTAATTAATCAACTTTGCTGCCTACACTCCAGATTTTTCATGGCTGATGAACTGCAGGAATTCTTATTGCAGTTTCTGACAATTCATTCACTGAAACAAGAGAATGCTACATGTAATGTGCTTATACAACTTTTATTGCTGGAGAGTACCTTCTGGCAATTTTGCCAACTAGCTCTAGAGACATCCTCAAGTACCATGTGTTTTATAAATTTTTAGAAAGATCTCTTGCTGCCATTGAATTGGTTAATTGAGGACTGTGCATGACCTGCAGCCCACCTCACATAATGTCAACATCCATGGCTCCGTATTCGGAACCAAGCATAACTCAAGCATTAGTCTCAAGATTTGTATATCACTTTGGGATCACTGAAGGCGAATTACAATTATGCACTGCAAAATTTGGTTCCTAATTATCTTCTTGGGAGTTTCGTTTTTTATACTCATCCTCGCTGAAACATTTCACAGATTTACAATTTGTTGGTTAGTCTTAATTGAAATTAAAATTTGACAATTTGCGCGATGGACTCCGGTGAAAAGGAGGCACTGCTGATTATCAACCTACCACCAGTGAAAACTTACCTTCCATCTTTTAATTGATCACCAGCTGACTGTAAAACCTAGAATACAAATTATGAGTATTTCAAAATCTTTTTTCATAATTCTTGATGACTGCCTCTACAACAGACTGAATAGCATGTGCTCCTACTGGGTTTGTTATCTATCTATCAAAGTAGATCATGTAGGCTTAAATAAAGTTCAGGTTAAAATGATTTCGAACTACGTCTTTTGATATAAATTTTCCTTCGATCTGAAATCATGACCGATGAAGCTGACTTACTTGTGACAATTTAAGATTAATAGAGCGTTCAGAATGCGTGATTTCCACTTTCTCATTACTTTTTCTCTTCTACTTGACATAAATAGTGTCCCCTGTTGGCGGTATTGGCATAAGCACCGAGAAATACATGTCCGAAAGTTGTGAAAACAGAATCCGAAGACATAACGAAAGTGAGTTAAACTCCTGACCACTATAACGTAAAGATCACTTTAACCTACAGATAAGAGAAGTTACACATACCTGTTTTCAAAAAAAGTGGCAGAAGTTAAGAGACCAAACGTGATAGCGAAATAGCTTCGAAATAACAAGAAAGCGAATACGTCGTTAAAAATAGTGAAAGTTGTGTTGTTTCGGGTCAATCAGCTGTCATGTGACTCGTTCCCGCGCCGCCGCAGACATGGGTAAGAATCAGAAGAACGCAAACCAGAGGGAATCTGGATGGCGGAATGTCCATGGCCGCCCTTGAGAAGGCAGTTAGGACTACCGGCTCTGAAACTACAGCTGGGCAAGAAAGAATCCCACCTGAGGTGCAAAGAAAGTTGGATGCGCTTAGAGGGAACAACTGTTAAAAATTATAATGATGTTCTTATCGTCACCATTGCGAGAAGGAAGAATACAGGAGTGAGTGCAGCAGCCACCACGTCCCAAATTGGTCTCAATTGTGGGGAGGATCCTGGCCAGAACTATCTTGAAGAGATTCAGGACAATCAAAGAGGAAGTTCTACCAGAAAGCCATTGTGTCTGGTTTTAGGTCTGGTAGCATCACAACGAACAAGATCTTCACCTTTCGAAGTTACAGGAGAAGGCGATCGAGTAACATCAACCTTTTTACGTTGTCTTTGTCAAAGGCAAAACTCAAAGGCCTTTGAATCTGTGGATAGGGAATCGCTGTGAAAGATCCTGGAAATGTGTGGGTTTCCAGATAAACTTGTGAACTTGTCAACGTTATCAAATTTTTCTACGAAGGAATGCTGGAAGAGTGTCAGTTAGTGACGAGCTGATCGCTCCACACACCATTAATCATGGCTTTAGATAAGGTCCATGCCCCTACGTTATTCTCAATCTATGTGACTACATTTCAGGAAACGATCAACATTAACCTAAAATGGGGACGTACATCAGGACTAGGACGGATGGAGGACTCTTTAACATGGCCCATCTACGATCGTCAACCAAGACGTGAGGACATTGAATTAAAGAGCAATTTCATGCAGACGCCTCCGCCCGAGTCGTTACTGGTGTAAATGTTATCTAGGAAATTGACCTCAGATTTTCGTTTTCTGTAGACCTGTTCAGGCTCTGTGCCAGTGTCTCCTTATCTGAGCTATTGAACTAAGCCTCTCCTGACAACCCCTGGAGGGCGAGCCGCAAATGTTACCAGTGCCCCAAGAAGCACATTGAGAAGTAGTGAAACAAATAATGCTTCAAGAAAATGTATTTCTTGTTTTCTTCACAAAGTACAACAATAACTATTTTCAACTATCCCGGATGTAAGTGACTACGTCACAAGCCACGTGTTTCCGATACAATTATCACTTATTTCTACCAGTTTACGCCCCAACACAAAACCTGTTAATTGACGGTGAAGTGTTGAGGGAGTAACTCTTCCTAACTCTCCCTTTTTTAAACTTTACTTTATTGATGACAACTTCTAAGAGGATTATCTGCGTTACAATCAATTTCGCAAGACCAGACAACAGTCTTTATAGGTGACGGCAATCATCCCAAGTGTCAGAGAATTTTCAGTAAATGTCCATCGACCTACGACAGCCAATCGTGTTGGGCTGCTTGTAACTTTTCATGCATACTAAGTAACTTCCTTCAATTTATTTATCATTTACAGAAACGACTTTACTCCTTAATTTTCTTACTGATATACCTCAGTTCCAGAATAACGAACACGATCTAGCGACATCAGAATATGACTTTCTATGAGAACAGCAGAGAAAATTACCTAAATTAAAGGTTGTTACATAACAATAACGCAAACAGAAAATTGGAGATGAAGGGGCGTACCTGAGGTGTCGCCTTTCCCATAAATTAAAATAACAACTAAATAGAAATTCAGTTCAGAAGGTGTAAAGAAAGTTATGTTTACAAACTCGGCCACCAATAACCGAGTCGCTGAATACAAGCTCCTAAGAGGAGTCAGTTAACATATATAAAGAAATGTAGAAACCAGGCCTTCTCCAATCGTAAATTCTATATAAAAAACCTTGCAGAATTAACCCAACACAAAAGAACCATTTACGAAAATATTTCCAGAAAATCTAGGCACAAAAAACGAACTTGGCGAAAACAATTTTGCGATCTGTTATACGATTAATTCACAATAAGAGAAAATACGAGTTAAGCTTAAAACAGCTGACAATAGGTGTTCAATAAAGTTAAAGAGTATTTTCTCTTTATAAATGTTATTAGTGAAGGGTTTTTTGTAAGTCCTCCGGGTGAGGCGATTCTACCCTAAATAAATATCTACTGTATTTAAATTCCCATCACTTGAAGACACAAATTTTAAAAGGACACCTCTTTAACTTTTGTCAGTTTTATCGTTGAACTAAAGTAATGCTCCACCATCTGCACCCACATTGAGTGTATTCAGATGATCAGATGACAAACGAATTATGGCCATCCTCGTTGTTATGGGCATTCACGAAAATCCCTTATCACTGAGTAAAAATTCTCTGTTTTTTTTTCCTAGTTAATTATCTGTTTCCTCTTGGCTTTAGGAAATGCATGAGGTATTGACTTAAAATTAACCAAACAAATGCTCAATTTCTGAATATTAGAGGACTTGTCTATCTTAAAGGCAATACAAGGAGGAACCGGTAGGGTTTGAACTCAATGGCCTATAAAAAAGTCTGTTTTTTGTTTTATATATATATATATATATATATATTTATATATCGAATAAAATATTAGAGGAAATTCAGCTGATCTCAGTTGTTTACGATTATCTTAAGCGCAAAGAGCTTTTTCCCGCACAAATTCATCTTCAGCGTCTACGCACCACTTACTGCCTGTTTTTTTCTTTTTTTCTCGAGTCTACCGGATACTGTTTCACAAATTGGATAATAATAGCTTTCTACGATTTGTCCAGAAACAGGAATTGCGAATATGCTATTTGATCTTATCCAACTTTTAGCTTAGCAGGAACTTTTCGCTCCAATCTTCCTGCTGAGTCGTATTCAGCAAATGAAAAATGTCGTTTCGTATGACAGGTTATTTTTGACTACGTAAAGTGCGCATAACTTTCAATCTGACCTGGTGTTGTACGACAGCCTATGATTAATTGCACTATCATCCTTTAAGTGGTGTATAAACAAGACTCACAGCAAAACCATAATGTAAGTTTATGCATTTTTTCTAACAATTTCTCTTTCAAATGATGATTTCTTTTGCATTTTTCTGCAAAGTAAAATGACGTTTTGAATAAAGAAAAGGAAATAAATAGGTACTGTAAACAGCAATGACAAGAGTTATATGCCAAAAAGCTATTCTTAAAAACGATTTTCGGAACAATTTATCGTTAAACAAAATTGTTTGATACAGTACGTTTTATTATTATCACACAGCACGAAGTAGAGTACAAATAACGCGTGAATAGAGTACAAATATCCTGCAATATTTTAACGAGCAAGTAAGGCGAGTAAAAATACGGCACAAATCGTAAAAATACTCAGCGATACTACACACCAAAACATCCAATCAGTGAGATATATTTATCAGGTATGATTTATATGTGATGTGTAATCGCCCCAATTGTTTTGAGACAACTGATGAAATCGTAGCTTGTATACTCTTTGGTGGAAAGTATCAGTGGCCATTTTTGTCTTCAACATAATATCAAGACGTCTTGAATTTTTGCTAACGTTTATTCTTAACTGTTTCCTTAATCTGCAGTGATCAGAGTTTTATACAGAGCTAACTTTAATTTGAGGCAATCTTCGTATTTTGTACCTTTATTGGGCGCTCATGGAAACCATTTGTATGAAATAATAAGTTGATGCAAAACGCGTTCATTTAAATTTCCTCCATTGAAAGACAGAAAGATCGATCTGATTATTTGTTATGTCAGAGAGAGTCTACCAGCTGTGTGAATTTGAGCTGAAATATGAAGTACGTGTTCTGTTCTCCCCAGCTAATCATTAAGCTACATTGATCGCTTGCATTGGGATGATTTTTTCAGTCTAGTGACTAATAATTAACATCACATGTAAAGAATAGGATCTTTTTCACAAACATTTGTCGCGAGTCGGAAAAAATGGACAAATTGGGCCTTACGTTATGACATCTTTTTTAACTCGTGAATTGCGCGCATGCGCAAGAGCGAGTTATAGATACGATGTGGGGAATGCCATTCGCTCGCTCGCTCGCTCGATTGGTCGATTCCTGTAAACTTTTTTTAGATTTTAGGCTTTTGAGTGCATTTGATAGTTTTTGGCGAGCAATAAACAGACGAAATGGCGACCTTTGTTGCTAAGAATAGTGGTGGGGTGAAAAAGAAGCCAATGATAATCTTAAAAGAGTTTTTTTTTGTTTTAGTTTCAACAAGCGGCGCCAGCGACTGGCAGGCATGCAAGGATTCACACTGAAATAACAGAACAACCTTCGTTTTTCATAAAATTGTAATTTACAATCCTTGAACTTGAAAACAATCCGAGGATTCATTGAAAATATCACTTACTGCGAAGCGCTCGGAGTTTACAGATGTTCAAAAGCTTTTTATGTTATGGCGTGAGATTGAGGACAAAATTGATCATTACGTTTCGTCGCGTGTGTTATTCCTGTGTGAAGCAACAAAAGATGCCGGCGACTGACGAAATAACAAGTTAACACGAAAATCAGATAACACCTAAACAAACAATTTTAGCTACCGATTTTCAGTGAATTTTTAAAGAACAATTTTCTTTTAAGTTTCAAGACAATTTGGAGATTCAACATACATACAACGTACTAAAATGCGAAAGTTACTCACCACAAAATTGATAAATAGGCCTGAAATGAAATTCTATCTTGTTATTGATTATACGTTGCCTAGCACGTGACTTAAATCTTCCCAGGCGAAGGTCCAAAATGACGGTGGCAGGCTTGGCTTAGTTATATCACTCAAAACTCGTTCCCGTTTGTCTCATTTGATAAAGAGGGAATCGTTAATGTTTTCATTAAGACAGTATTGCCTTGATTTTCTAATATTTACAACGAAAGACAGTAAATTTCACTTTTCACCCACATTTACTTCCAACCTTTTCTTTTCAATTCACGAGTTTGCTCACAGAGCACTTTGATTTAGTACTGACTACAGGAGGAGTCTGTCATGTTCACTCACGAATTTCAAAATGCCATTTTTAGTCGCCATCATTCACATATCGAAAAGGAAAAAAATAAAATGGAAAATGAGATAAGCTAGTGGCCTATTTATAAGAAACAAATTGGCTTTTCTTGCTATCGATGAACTATTTGGAAAATGTACAAAAATGATTCTTCCAACTCTCATTGTCATCTCGTTAATAAAGTCGCCAAACGGAAGCACGCATATTATAGATAAAAACTAGACTGGTCAACTTTTTGCTTATGGCAAAAACATGTATACAGCCGTCGCAATTTCAGACGACACGACTCCTCCAATGAGGAAAACTCTAAGTTACTTCTACCTCGGTTTTGAAAGGCAATACTGCTCAATATTCAGATCTTTTAATCTCAATGAATGGAAAGTGGATCCTTAAGTTTCAATGCTGGCGGGTATTCTCACGTTTGAATCTCCATTAAAACATTTCCTCTTACATTTCTCAACGAGGCAAATCGTGTATCATTATTGTAATCATTTTTGTCATATTTCTTTCGTGCACGTAGAGCTCATTGAATTAAACAACTTCAATACTTGTTTGTCCGTTAATAAATAAACATGCGGTCAATCTGCCACAAACTCCTCCACGATGCATAAATTTCGTTAATCGTGACTTTTGCCTCGTATCGCGATATAATCAATCCAACGTAAATATGAAATGTTAAAGCTACTCGCATAATTTTGATTTTCTGTTAGCCTGTTTGGACTTCACATTTGGCGATTTCGTTCTTAAGCTTTAGATGTGTAGATAAAAGCCATAAAAGAAACAAAATTACATACAAAGAAAGTTGAAACACCCGTTCAGGAAAACGCTCGGTTGGCAAGTCCAGCAATAAATAATAATCACAGTCATAAGCAAACTCGGAGAGCTGCCACTTGTATTGAAATGCTGCTTAGAAACGAAGCGATTATACTTAATCGAGCTAAAACGAAGACAATGTTTTAACTTTACCTAATTTGCATATTCTTGGTGATATTACTACCACGAAAGTTTAACTTTACACTGTGTTATCGTCAAGTGAATCGTTTTCGTCCTCTAAAGTTAGTTTGAAAATGCATATCGACTGTTGGTTGCATTTTGACGACAATCGCACCCATTCAGTTTTCATTCAATTTTCCAAAAACGATGAGTTCATAGGTACGTGTCCATTTTCAGGACCAGTTTTGCGGCCGGATATCTCTCCGTTAACAGGCGCATTTTTGCCAGTGAAGTTAGATTTTCCATGAACCGAATAACCTAACCTAGATGTCTCTTCCTTCAGATGTAGTCCTTCTGGGGCAGAGAAAATAAAACCGAATGACCGAATTCACCTATCTTAAACATATGCTACATATCAGCTATATATTTTGTCATTAAACAAAAGCGGTTAATATGATGCCAAGTAGAACAGTGAATAAGAAATAAGAAAAATTATCAATAACAAGAACGACACCGATAATGATAATGACAAAAATATAAATTATTGTGATAACAATAGTAATATTGTTATCTGAATCGAAAGGAGGCCAACATGGATGTCGCTGTAAAATGTTACGAAGGATTCAAGAGAAAATGGAATTTCCGGCGTTTGAGTGGATACGAATCGAATTAGTCGGAAATGAAATATTTCTGCGGCACGGGAGTAGTGGGGATTGGGGCTGTTGAAGTGCAGCATGGGTAGAATGGAGTGCTATAAAAAGGATGTTTATCACGTGGGAAAGCATTCTAGGCCGACACCTCGTCTTGCTCACGTTATTTTTTTGTATATAATTGATTTACTAGTGACAGTTCGAGTTTCGCAGGGGCTTCTTAGCTTGTTTGCGTTTACTAAAATTATTTAGAGCTTTCGTGCTTTGTTTAAATACATGTTTGGTAAACAAGGGCAGAGATCTTCCAGCCGTGTAGCCTTCGTAGGATGGGCTTTTCAGTGCATGAGCCATGGATCCTACCCCGATTTCCTGCCGAGTTTTTTGTTTTACCTATTGGGGTTTTTTCCGGCAGGTTTTTTCTGGCCTCTGTTCTGACAGTATTCTGTGTAAACTGACGCTCAGCTTTGTTCTTGTTTTTCCACCACATGTTTGAATGTAATAGAAGTTGTTGTACAACTTATTTTTATATGTGCGGTGCTCGGTCGATACAGCCATAATAAACCTAATGGTTTTTCTAATTCATGTTGTACTGCGTAGTGGAACTGAAATGTACTGTTCAGATCTGTAAATGTTAAACTACAAGAAATGTCAATTTTTTCAAATTGATCCTGGTGTGATTGTTCATTATTTGCGTTCATTATAAGAGTACATGGTTTCCTTTGGTAGGCTGCCTTACTTATTCAAGCTCAAAAGTAGTTTCACCCTGACATGGAGAGTCGACTTGCCTGATGCATCGATACAAAGTCCACGCCAAACAATCCCTTTTTTTATGATAAGCACTGTAGAAGTAAACTTCGCTATCATCGCAGGAACTCATTATAACACGAAAAATTCCTTCTTTTTTAAAGTACGTTGCACTTCGTCGTCAACGCAAAAGTAAGATCTCAAAATTTTTTGTAAATTTACGAGCAACTTTGCTGCGATTCACTTTAGATTTTGTTTGTCACTGTTGGTGATTTCGAAAAAGTAGCGAAACAAAAGATTTCATTTAGTTACTAAGTTAAGAAGCGAAATCAAAACCACATGTATTCGGTAAAATTATTTCTATGAATCATGTATTTGGGTTGAAACGAGAGTATGGGGATAAGTAAAAGAAAGCAAAGACATCCTGTACCTTATAGCGGAAGTTTTGTGCAAAATCGCCAAATTTGTAACTCACATTTCCATTTTCCTCTGTGTAAGTGCCTGAGTTTGTAAATTTAGATACAATACGTTAATGATAACCTAGTTCGACTTATTGCCTAAGTTTACTACGTTTCTCTAGAAAATAACTTATTTAATTTGAATAAACAATCCATTTGTAGGCCACTTCAAACATCCAAACAAAAAATTTGTCAACGTGTCATGGTGATGGATAATTTTTGGCTTCGAGAAGCGTCAATGCGTTTAGTACTATTTACTCTTACCTGCGCTTTATGGAATCTTCCATTCGTCAAAGGTGAAACATGCAATCCAAATCTCAACAGTAAGTAGTGTTAACTTCTTCTAAATGTCCTGGTCAAAGAGCATGTTTATGCGAATGTCTTTCTTGTATGCACAATAAATGAATGTGTGTACAGAAAGTTTAAAATGGCTACCAAACAAACAGCTCCCAGTCAGAGGATCTAGAGGATGCAGGCATCTTCATCAAAATATTTAACATGTGTAGATAAGAAAGGACGAAGATAAATTCTTGACTAATCCAGCGTTTAAATAGACAACGTTTCGGCCTTCGGTCCTCTTCAGTTGGAACATAAAAGGTAAAAATTAATATTAAAAAGCTGCATTAAAACTCTTGATCGGTCAAGAGTTTGTGAACTACACTTACTAGATTTATAAAATGGATTTATCAAAAATCTTTCTCATTGTCTGATGGGCGATAAAGAGATTGTATATTAAATTTATTATTATTATTATTATTCAATCTCTCCAACCCAGTCAGACCCGTTGTGTACATCTTTTCAAGTCCAGAAAATAGCAGATTACCCATTGGTGCCTCCATTACCCTGAAATGTACAGCGGAGCCAAGAACAGAAGATAAAGGATATCTGGATAGATGGGTCAATTATATCGAGTGGTACGATCCACAGGATAATGAAGTTGGAGCTAAATGCAAGCAGACTTCAAACAAACGGGCATACAAATTTAAATTAACCTGTCCATTAGTGCTTAAAAATCTGACAGTTGACAAAATTGGCCGCTACACCTGCCAAGCTGGCAATGGTTACATAAAACACTGCACAAGGAAATCATTCGAAATATTGATTCAAGGTAAGAAACCAGGCTTATCATACCTTCATTAAACAATTTTTACACTCGCGCTTGTTGGATATGCGATGATAGATGACCAACGAGGCTCATAGGGCCGAGTTGGCTATCATCTCGTATTCAACAAGCGCGAGTGGAATAATGATTGAATCAAAAACGCGCCAGGACATATATACATAAATCCTCCCAACTTTATTTTGCAAGAACAAACGGAATGTTACAATGTACAAATACGCTTCCGGTGTAACTCGTCTTCATGTGTGCACATGGTATAATGACCCATAACCTATAATGGCTAAGTCATGAAAACTTTTGAATTGCATTATCCAATGATCCAGTTTTTGATAATACGAAAATGAATGCCGAAAATGTTTCATTCAGGAATAAGGAGCCTCAAATAATCAGCTTCTAAGAAACTCCTGGAACGTATGGAAAGGAAAGTCCAATAAATAATTCATTGCAAAAGGAAAATTCCGCTGTGGTCATTAGGCATTAATAGATTGTGCTCGGCAACTTTTGAGCAACGTTTAGCGTTTTCAGCTACTTTTTGTACTGCGAGCAACCTGGAGCAACTTTTGCCTTCCTTGAGGCTTCAGTCATGATAAGATACAACAATGCAAAGAGGCTGTAAACTTTAAAGTTTACAACCTCTTTGCATTGTTGTATCTTATCATGATAAGATAAGATAAACGCTGTAAACTGGATCACTGTCCAAAGTGTATAGTCAGTACCATGATGTCTATAGCAAACATTGTGATGTTTACTCATTAGAAAAGTCATTTAAAAATACTTTCTATTATTAGTTACGTTGAGCTTAAAGATTATATTGATCACAACAAATTATGTTAAATTACAAATGAAACGTCATGTTTTGAGTAGTAATCTTGAACAAAATGACTTTCAAAAGTAAGCAACTTTTTTAAATTTGGGTGGCAACTTTTGAGCAACTTTAGAGCAAACTTTTGGGTGTATTGTCAAACAACTTTTGTTGGATTTACTAGTACAATCTATTCGCGCCCAGTGGCCATTGGCTAACAAGACTCGAAATGCACCGCTTAAAGAACGCAATTCTTTACGCAGATAACGATTAAATTTGAATCGGGAGCAATTCAATTGACCTGTCTTGATGCATATCGCATTACTTTGTACAGTTGAACCTGTATTAAGCGGCCATTCACTGGGAATGGTGGTGTGACCAATTAATGCAGGTTCCACGTAAAAGGAGTATTATTAAAAAAATATAAAAACAAAATCGAAACATACACAACGCCACTAACGCCACTATTATAATTGGCCACTTTATGTACAGAATCTCGCTCAAATTTACTTCGATTTTGGGAGAGAAACATGGATAAAAAAGTATTTGAAGGATTATTCTTGTTTTTATTAGGGTGGTTGGGCTATAAATGGCCGTTCAAAACAGATGGAAGGCAATACAAAAGGCCGTTGGGACTTAGTAAAGTTCGACTGCGACCGCTAAGTAGAGGCAACTGCTTAATAGAGGTGCAAATTACAGTGATTAAGGGGAGACAAATTGGGACTTTGGTAGCTGACAAACACTAATGCAACTGACTGCTCAATACAGGGGTGATCGCTGAATACGGTGCTGGCAATGCTGAAGAAAAAAAAACCCAACATATTCTTCGGAAGATGAGAAAAGAATTATTTTGTGAAACAAAAATAAACGAATGAAAATTATTAGAATGAATAAAAGAAGAGGTTCACACTCCGGCCAGGGGGGGTTGGCCTGAAATCCTTCTTAGTACCTGCATATGCCGTTCATCTTGTTGTGCGGCACAAAGTGTGATAGTGAAAATATCTTCTCATTCTGCCGTCATTTGCTTATTGAATAAGCTTCATACCAGATTATCTCAGTAATAATTGGGGATATCTATTGCAATTAGTACTTTTTCCCTACAGGTCCTGCGCCAGAGTTAGTAGGAGTTCCTCGGAACCAAAGCACTGATATAGGGGCCAATGTAACTTTCAACTGCACTGCCACAGGTCTTCCTGGGACAAGCATCTCATGGATAAAAGACAATGACTCATTTGCCTTACAGTCCAACCCAAGGGCGATATTCATCAATAATCCACATTCATCAACAATCCAAAAAACCATGCAAAGCCAGTTGTTTATTACAGGAGTGAAGAAAGAAGATTTTGGCAAATATCAATGTGAAGCAAAAAACAGTGGTGGTAGAAATTTGTCGTTGCCAGCTTTCTTATCCTCGAAAGTTTCAGGTTAGACATGAATATGCATTCGTGTTTGTCTTCCTTATCATTTCAAAGTTGAAAGCCCACGAAGTCTTCCACTTGTATGTCAACTCAGCCTCCCAACTGAAGTTCCCCCAACACCAAGTAAGCGAGATAGGCTCGGTTTTTGGATGATTACTTCTTGATGTACATTTCCGTAGATTGTAAAAAAAAACTCTTAGAGTGTCATTAGAGTATCAAGAGCTAGAAAATAAACAGTGTTTCTGTTAAATGTTTATACAAAGTTTGAAAGTTATTATTTCACTTTGACCCGGTCCCTGTACCTTCTCAGTCCTCTTATCATCAGACTCCCCAGTAGGTTCAATCCTCTTCAAACCGGGTCTTGAAATTCTTCCTTTGTCAATTTTCAGATGCCCAGAAACCTGAGATCGTTGAAAGTCCAAAGAACCAAAGTGTCCTGATCGGTTCCAATGCTACCTTAAGCTGCACTGCTAGGGGTCTCCCGAGGCCAACAATCCACTGGATAAAGGACAATGCTTCATATCCTTTACAGCCTAACCCCAGAGCACATGTAATTCCAGACGGGCGAACCAATCGCAGCCAGCTTTTTATAACGAGAGTAGAGATGGAAGACTATGGAAAATATCAATGCATTGCAAATAATAGCATTGGAAGAAGCCAATCAGGAGTGGCTGTCTTGAAAAAAGGTACGATTTTTTTTTCAATGGAAGGGGAAAAAATAGGGTAGGAGGGATCCTTCTTGACTACGTGTGCTGTTAATAAGAGCAACCTGTTTGTTACTACATTTTTTTATCATTCATCCACAGCAACTCCCACTCCCACCTCCATGAACGGAAAGCCAAAAAATTCAGCATCAAAGACAACTATAGTCGCTGTATCATGCACTTTGGCAGCTGCAGTTATTTGTGCAGTCACTGGGTTTGTGTGGATTTGGTGTAAAAATCGTGATAAAGAGGTAAATAAAATGTTACGTGACATCCCCACACAGGGTAATGATCTCTGTCCGTCATGCGACTTTGCTTGTGCTGACGTCCAGAGGAATGCTGAGATTGACCAGCCAAGAATCATGCATTTTCCTCGGGGGGTAAGATGCAGAGTCGAGAAAAACTTCCCAAATTTATCATAACTATTATTATTGTTTTTGTTATTATTACGAACTCTTTTCCCTTTAATGATTATTTTCGTCAGTTTGGCCTTATTTAGCCAATGAATAAAGGGGGTAAGTTTCTACAGAAACTGTGGTGCTGCGTCGGTAGGAGAGTATAGCAGGTAATTTAGTGTTAACAACTGAGTTGAAAACGTGAATTGGCCACCGTAAAGGGTAAAAAAAAAACGTTTTGAGCGTCAGAGCCATTGGAGGAATTGTGGGTTGTGTGTGGATTTACATGCAGAAAGTGGAGCTACGCGATTGGTGAGAATATGGTGACGAGAAAACAGGAATAAATTAATTGAATGAAAAGCACTCGTTGATTCCTTGGGGATTAAGAGTGCCGATTTGGAAGATAAATTTTTGTGATAGTGTTTTGCGGCTTTCCGAACTGCCTACACACAAGGAAAGGCCGCAAACTGCCATATGCTGTTTAGAATGATTAGGGAGATTAAAGTGTCTAGCGACTGGTTTGGATGCGTCCTTGTCATTTCTTTCCACGTCGCGAGGGTGTTCTCGGAATCGGTCACCTGTTTCGCCAATGCATAACCTATTTCAATAAGTGCAGGTTATGCAGTAAATAACATTGGCGGAGGTACACGTAAAGTGATCAGTGATCTTAATGGATCTCTTGGGTCCCGATATTTTCTCTACGTTATGAATGAAAGGACAAGTGTCAGAGAACACCTTCGCGACGTGGAAAGAAATGAAAAGGACGCATCCAAAGCAGTCGCTGATGATGATAAAAGCTAAACACGCTTCTTGGATAAATATCACAATTGCCTATTCTCTTCAATTATATGACAGGGAAGAAAACGAACAAGAAAGTTGTATTTGATAAAAGACAAACATTTAAAAGATGGGATACAGGACCTTGAAAACAATCGGTCGCCCAATACCCAAACCATCGAGACCCCCGTGGAAAGGCTCCCGTTAGTGGGAGATGGAGTAGGGGACAGACTGCCTCCAGACGGAAGCGAGCAGGATAATTTGGTGCTAGGTATAAAGGAAAGAGGCCAAGAGAGATTAGAGTCGGGTGAGGGGATAGCTGATGCTGACATTTTCACACCTGACAAACACCTGAGTGTCGACGAACAGCGGGATTGTGGAGAGATATCTGAAGAGACCGAGGAAGGATCCGAAAACTTGGAAAATCTTGAAGTGTTCGATGAAATACTCGGAGAAGGCGAATTTGGAATCGTCTACAAAGGTCGATATAGTGGGAAAGATGGAAACATAACGGATGTAGCTGTGAAGAAGTTAAAAGGTAGGTACACGAATCGAAATGTCTACTTTTTATTTCCTAAGTACAGTGGTATATCTCTAAACTGATTTTTCTTTTTCGAAGCCAAGCACCATCTTAATTTTTCACCATTTTTCTTGTGGTGAAAAACAGCCATAAAGTCTGCTATTGTCTCCTCTGAACGCTTTCTACAGCCTTAACCAAGCCAGTTTTTTTTTTCCATTCATAATTTTGTTACCATAGCTAAATACGATGAGCGAACTACGTAAAATGAAGCAATTTAAGAAATTCCCTTTTTTTTTTTTTCTCTATTTCATTATAGACCCTAGTGCCATTGCCAAAGAAACCCTGCTTAATGAGATAAGGACCTTAAAGCAAGCTGGGAAACATCCCAATATTGTCACTTTGATTGGGACAAGGATAGAGAGAGGTAAGTCAGTTTTCAACGATGCAACGTCTTAGAAATATGCATGTTTACTGGGTGATTGACAGTAACAAGGTAACGTTTCAGCAGTGTGTAAGATCAGTTAGAACAGTGCAGGTACTGACCCTATGATTAAAGAAAGATAAGAACATTTTTCAGGTTTAACTTCGCGGAAGTTCATATGGAATTTTTCCTGTTTTTTTGGCCACCAACTAAACTTGAATTACCAACGAATCATCTTTTGATCAACTCAAGGTGACAATAATGTCTAATTTCTTTCTCTTGTCAACTCTTATGTGTTTGCTTTACTCTCACAAGGAAACGTTCTTGTGGTCACTGAAGTGATTCATGGTGGCAGTCTGGAAAATCTTTTGAGGGCGCCAGGGGAAAGGAACAATTATCATAACGTCTGCTGTAAGCTGAATGACCGGCAACTGGTCATAATTGCATTTCAGATCGCCACCGGAATGCAACACTTAGAGGAGAGAAAGGTAAGACTCGCTAGCAGCGTGTAGAAATAAATGTAATGTTAAATTTGTCAACCTTCCATTAGAGATGGCTGCTCTCAAGAGATTACAAACAGTTTATAATCTCTTGCTGCACTAAATATAACGCGGGCAGTTCGAAGTTGTGAAGTGGCTTAAGGACACATTCAGGATCTTTTGCATTTTTTTATAGGCCACCTAATCATTCGTGAGCCTTTGTTAAGCCTGTGTTTATAACGCAGGCAATCTCAGCTTGTAAATTGGCTTCAGGACACAATGAGGATCTTTCACACTTTCGTATAGGCCACTCAATCATTGAGCGTCTCTAAGCAAAAAAATTATACATTGTCTTCTCTTACAGTTTGTCCATCGCGACCTAGCAGCGAGGAATATTTTAGTTGATGCCAACTTGGTGGCTAAAGTTGGAGACTTTGGATTAGCCAGGGACATATCCGCTGCTGGTATATACACCATAACCTCTAGCGTAAGTACACTGTGCAATCAAAGTCAACGACTAAACAGACAAATTAAACAAGCTGAAATGCATCTAAATTGATGCTCTTCCTCGGTGCAATCGAGTAGAATAAATTAATTTCTTCTAACGATATAATTGCGATGAAACTCTCAATGAGCTGTGTATTACGTGACACATTTACTTAATTAATCATAACAATTACAGTTTCGTTAAAAGTTATTGATGCACTAGGCGCTTTATATTTGACAATTTTTTCCGTAGATTTGTAATCGGACAGTTGGCTGTAATTGGACACCTGTAATCGGACAGTTAAAGCAGCCAATCCTACTTTACCCACTCAGTCAAATCCACCAAACACAGAACTGATCACAGAACAATAGCAACAACCATTTTACCCAACCAAACAGGGGAGTTTCGTGACAAACAAATCGGACTCCCGCTTGGTGGCCGTCTGATTTTTTAATCACTCGTATGATAACAGACCGAATTGGATTCACCTCGGTCTTATTACCATTATTAATTATGGGTTACTTTCTGAACTTATGATAATGTTAATAACAATAATAATAACAGTCACAGTAACTATTACTCCGGATTTTACTGGAAATTAATAATAATTACCAACTATCACATATCTTAAAGTCGAAAGAGAACTCGCTTTCTATTAATGAATGCATCCTTCCGTTTCATAAGTCATCCGCTTCCCAGTTTCAGAGGGCATTGCCTGCACTACAAACAGTAGCTTGCTCACATGAATCCATCTTTTCAACAGGGCAAGGTTCCGTGGAGATGGTCGTCGTTAGAATCTCTACGAGATCTCCATTTTACATCCATGAGTGATGTGTAAGTTTCGTTTTGGATTTAATACTGTCAGATTTGTGTCCCTTGAGATTGAGTCGGAAGTACTGCCTAGCGGAAAGGATTTCCGAAAAAAAAACTTCTGTCGTGCACTCTAGTATATCCCGTGGAGCATTATTATGGTTATATATGGGCTTCATTTTACGTTGTTTGTTCGACTGCATGGTGTATCTATACCTATTTGCATTTATGGACACACCATGACAACTTAGTATGACTTAAGTAATTCCTTCCTTCAAATCGAGCATCATATACTTATTTTACCTGATTGAAATTGATACCAGAGGCAAGGTCCACATAAGAGGAAAGACTCAACGAAGTTTTGAGTGAAGTACATATCCATGAAAAACTAAAAGAATACAACGAGACTCAATCTTTAATCAATTCAGCGCTAATCGTTCGAATTCCCTATTCATTAAAGTTATTAACCCTTTCACTCCCAAGATCTCATTGTTAATTCTCCTTACTGTCCGCCATAAAATTCTTTAGATTTTATTCGGAGAATTTGGTATGGGTTTAACAAATAATCTCCTTCTTGGTATATATTTTTATTCTCATCACTTATCTGGTTGATATCGTATGGATATTGTAAGGAGAAATTCTGTCTTGGTCACTCATGGGAGTTAAAGTGTTAAAGCCTTGATGTATATTTGCAGGTGGTCATTTGGTATCGTTTTATGGGAAATCACCACTTATGGTAAGTGTGACGTTTTACTATGTGCGACTTCAACGATATCCTGAGAACTACAAGTCATATTCTCGTCATATTCTCGTCAATCCGTAAAGCAACCCAAAGTTAGCAAGGCTCTTCTGTAAAACTAACTGTATAGACACAAGTATCTTCATGTTGACAACGATTATTGCCAGTCAGACGAAACTGAACAAGATGAGAAGGCCACTTCCAGCTATAGGTTGTGCTCGTGTCAAACATTTTATACGTGTTATATCTTATTTGTCACAGTGCTGCACTTAATTTTATCTATCTAAATCATAGAGTCTTAGCAAGTCTCTATTCTATTCACAAAGCTATTGCTGAAGTACTTATTGTCTTAGATGATATTCTTAAAAAACTGAAATGGTTAAATCATATCTTCTTTCCGCCAAACAGGTGAGTTGCCATACCCTAACATCACATCACCAATTGCCTTAGTAAATCGACTTGCCTCAGGATACCGGATGTCTCGTCCCGACCGATGTTCGGAAGAACTGTAAGCTCTAAAGTCTTGAATAATGCTAGTAAAATTAAATTGAATCATAATTGAATATGAAGACGGCTTCAAATAATGGACGTTTACTTTCCGGATTCTCTTAAAAATAATCGAAAAACGTTTTTTAGCGCAAGACCGCTGACACCCACTTTTTCTCGTTGAAAATCAAAACGATGCATTGAATCAGTCGTGATGATTTAAGAACAATTTGTACATCAAATCAAATTTCACATTCGGCCAATAAGTGACCTTTCCAATGATCATTGTCATGAGTTCAAAATCCCCTCTTTGCACCCCTTTCAACGCTTGGTATGGCCAATTCAGATGTTGAGAGTATCAGTTGCAAGACAATGTTAGCTAATACTGTATTGAATTTTTTAGATATGAGCTCATGAGTTCTTGTTGGAAAGAAAATCCTTTGATGAGACCAGCCTTTTCGCAGATCGCTCAACAGCTGAAGAATTTTTTGCGAGAAGTGAAGGTAATTAATGGTTGTATTTAGAAGCTTTCCATTTCTTCCCTTCCTTTCGCTTTTCTCAAAATTATATCTGCCCTCTTCTTCCTCCTTCCATTTATTCATCTTTGCTTCCCTTCACCCTGCCATGGATCCCTCTGTCACTTTGTCAGTCCTTCTGATAAACCTTTTATCTCCAACTGCAGCTATCGACCCATCCATTCGTACACATAGTCATCCATTCACTTGCTTTTCCGTCTATCTATATGATCTTAGCTTCCATTCGTTCCTTCTTTTGTTTGTTCCTAGATTCATTCTTTTCTTAGATTTAATTCATAAACGGTACGGCCGTTTTTTCTTTCCTTATTCATATTTTTTGTGACTTATTTATTCTAATGATTTATTTCAGAGGACATATACAAATATCACAGAGGTCAACGATGGAGAAGCTTGATGACTCCCTGATGCTGAAGCAAACACCTCATTTTATTTGATTAACAATAGGAAAATAACCACAAGATCTCAAATAAGCGCATAGGCTCAAAAGTTTAGAATCAATTTTTTTCTTGGTGGAGGAAAGTTTTCTCGCAAATTCTCCAAATTTGTTGTTGATTTTTTTCTCTCTGTGCGATCAAATACACCATGAATGACATAAGTTTAATTTAGTGAAACTGAAACCATCAACTTTTCTCTAGGGTGGTTTAATAAGATGCGTTTTGATCTTTTTATCATTGTAAAACAACCTCTTCTTTAAATAAAGCCATCGCCGAAAGCTACCGAAGCGCTTTACCGGGTCTTAAATATCTTAAGAAGAGACCACCAATTCGGGCCAAGATTTAATGGTAGAGGTTGATGGTTCCCGAAGTACTCTCAGAAGTCTTTAAGTCAAAAACTGTTATTTGAACCTTACCTCTAGTGATTGGCGATAAAACTACCACAAAAGATTACAATCAAGAGTTCACAAGAGAGCTAACTAAGGGTGGCCTTCGCAAGCAATGTTAAGACAAATAAAAAAACATAAAAAAACACCCACCAAGATAAGAAGAAAATTGTCCCACAATTTTCATGGTTTCGAACCTGGTTAGTTAACGAGTGACAGCCAGACAAGAATATAACGTAGATGTGAAATACCAACGAACACAATAACTAATCTGGACAGATGAGCACAACAGCCGATTCTATTTTGGCCTCTTCTACTGCCTGGCAGCTGCCAAGCACTGATTGGTGGAAACTCATCCCGTTTTAGTTGTCATCTTTACACTGGACAACATCTGATCATATCATCGCCAGCTACGGCTGGATCGCCTACATCGAGGCATTTTCGCTCCTTTTACTGTACCTTTTCTTCAACAACTTAAACATCTCACACGTCTGTGGCGTCTGCCGATCGTCTGCATAGTAACCAAGTTCTTTCCACCCGTGGCTCCATTCTGTCCTTCTCTTGGTGTTTTTCTGAAGTGTCTTTAATCATTTTCGGATTCTTCTCGTCCAGATCATATCTCTGTTTTCGTTTCCTCAGTCGGCGAAACAAAATAACAGAGGGCGTAAAGTAAAGTTTGTTTACAAACGCGGCTAATAATAATCGAAGAGCTGAATACAAGTTTCTAAGAGGAGTCAGTTAAGATATATAACGAAATGTAGAAACTCGGCCTTCTCCAATCGTAAATTCCACATAAAAGAAACCTAACAGAGTTAACCCAATACAAAAGAACCATTAACGTAAAAAAAAAAAAAAAAAAAAGAATCTGGCAAAAACAAATTTGCGAAGTGATGTACGAATAATTTACAGTAAGAGAAGATACGGGTTAATCTAAGCTTAAACAGCTAACAATAAGTGTTCAATAAAGTTAAAAATCATTTTCTCTTAAAGTGCCCATGACACGATATTTATTTTGCATTTTCTGGTTAATATCTGTATTTAGAATTAGAAATAATCGACCTTAGCTCCCAGCGAGTTCTCCTTGACTATTTTTTTGTGCATTGAAAGTACGATTTGGCGGCCAAAAAGTGTCTCCATCAAGCGCGCGGCCGAAACGATCATGTTACATAGCTGTGATGTAGAAAACCGTGAGGACACGTCGGAAACTACGGAGGAGAAAGGACGAATCTAAAACAGCTGATAAAAAGTGTTCCATAAAGTTAAAGTTATTTTCTCTTAGTAAATGTTATTAGTAAACGGTTTTTGTAAGTTCTCCGAGTAGGGCGATTCTAACTTAAATAAATATTTATTGTATTAAAATTCCCAACACCTGAATACACAATTTTTAAAGGGACACTACTTTTACTTTTGTCAATTTTATCGTTGAACTGAAGTAATGTTTCGCCATCTACACTCATATTGGATGTATTCAGATAATCAGATGACGACTGAATTATGCCGTCCCTATCACTGAGAAAAAGTTCTGTTTCTTTTTTTTCCGAGTTAATTATATGTTTTCTCTTGGCTTTAAAAAATGCAAGAGGTATTAACTTCAAACCAAACAAAGGCTCAATATCTGAATGTTAGAGGAGTTTTCTATCTTAAAGGCGATAGTGGGACGAACCGGTGGGGTTTGAACTCGATGGCACAAAAAAAATCTGTTTTTTATTATATATATATAGATATATAGACTCTACCCCCACATTCATTTATATATATATCCATCTATCAGTCAAGACCTCCTAAACAAAGCACTAGACTTCGCCTCCGACCATGACAACATCACCACCGACGAAAGAAATATTATAATCCACGCAAAAAACTCCATCTTAATCCACAAGCATCTACACTGGCAAAAGAAAGGCAACACAACATTCGACGTAACAATGGGAAGCTACGACGGCGCAGAAACATGTGAACTCGTGGGAAGCTTTCTACTCTCCCAACTCCAAGACCTTAATGCAAACGTAGGACTTTACCGAGACGACGGACTTGCCATCACTAACGCCACACCTAGAGAAACAGAGAGCATCAAGAAAGAAATATGTCGCATCTTCAATAATAACGGTCTACGCATCACCATAGAGGCTAACAAACAAATAATCAACTTCCTAGACGTCACATTTAACCTTAAACGAAGCACTTATCAGCCATTCACAAAGCCGAATACTTCACTATAATACGTTCACCGCGAGAGCAACCACCCACCAATCACCATAACGAATATTCCCGCCGGTATCAACAAACGTTTGTCGTCCCTATCATCTGACAAAGCATCCTTTGACCAAGCCGCCCCTCCATACCAGAAAGCACTCGACGAAAGTGGATACCACTACACACTACAGTACGAACCAGCCAAAACATGCAAACGAAAAAACTGACAACGCAATAACATCCTCTGGTACAACCCTCCTCTCAGCAAGAACACCAGCACCAACATCGGACACAAATTCTTCGCCCTAGTAGACAAACACTTTCCCAAAAATCACATGCTCAGAAAAATCTTCAACCGAAACACAATCAAGATCAGTTACAGCTGCATGAACAACACGAAACAAATAATCGACAACCATAACAAACGCATCCTAACCGCGTCTATACAGGCTGATGATACCGCCGCCGCCACTACCATTAATAACAAGATATGAGACTGCCGACAAAAGAACGCATGTCCACTCGACGGAAACTGCCTACAACCATCAGTAATTTACCAAGCCACTGTCACGCGCAAAGAAAACAACACGACAGAAACATACATGGGACTCACAGAGAACGACTTCAAAACAAGATACAGAAACCACATCGCATCATTCCGCCACGCTAAACACAAAAACTCCACTGAACTCAGCAAGCACATCTAGACCCTCAAAGACAACAACATCGAGCACTTTATTTCCTGGCGCATTCTCTCATCACACTCGCCGTACAACAGCTCAAGTAAAAGATGTAATCTCTGCCTAAAAGAAAAATTCTTAATCATCTGCCGACCCGAACTATCAACACTGAACAAACGTAATTAACTTGTGTCTTCCTGCCGCCACAGAAACAAAGCCCTCCTACGCAACAACTAACTGTATATATAAGCCATGGAAAAGATCTATTCTCATTAAATCCCCTGATGAGTGGGCAACCACGAAACAGGTCTGTAGGTATGAACTGGTAGTTTATTTGTCTTTTTCCTCCCACAATATATACATCGCTCTACTCCTATGTATTGAGCACTGTCTTACGCAAGTCAAATTACTCTTTATATATATATATAATTAAATTTTAGAAGAAATACAGCTGGTCCTATTTGTTTACGATAATCTTACGTAAATTACACGACCCCACCATCGGAGTTCAGTGATGTTGTAACCACCGAAAGATCAATTTAATCGCCGCCACGATGGGCTTTACGTTTCAAGTTGTTTGGGTTGAAATGTATCCCAAAGCCACACAGCCCACAATAGGCAAAAAGTTTTATTTGTGAACATAAATCGATGCAATACTTTCTGCTGTAAGAAAGCCTGGTGTGTCACATTGTTTGGGTTGAAATGTATCCCAAAGCCATACAGCCCACAATAGGCAATGGGTCTCACCTATACTGTCATCATCGACAGATTCATTTAATCGCTGCCACAACGGGCTTTACGTTTCAAGTTGTTTGAGTTGAAATGTATCCCAAAGCTGCACAGCCCACAATAGGCAATAAGTTTTATTTGTGAACATAAATCGATGCAATACTTTCTGCTGTAAGAAAGCCTGGAAAAGATTTGTATTTCGAAGCGGCCAGTAACTTGAACGCGGCGACAACTATTGTATGAAATCGGCTTGCAATGGAGGTATTAACACTGCTTGTCGTTCGGAACTTCGAAAGCAGCTACCGAAACGTTTTCATCCGTCTACCATGTATAAACTTCGAAAGCTGTGATAACTTAAACATGCAAACTTTAAAATATACATATTGATTTCACTAACCTAGGAAGACACTCCCACAAAACAGCGCAGAGAAATCGACTGCGAAGAATGCAGGGTCAAAAACACCTGCAATAGCAAAGTGTATACGTCATTTAAGTTGCACTTCCCAAGGGATCACGTCGACGCCAATGTACAACATAGCAAGCGTCCTATGGGATACTATTTCTTACATTGAAGAACGACCGAATTTTAAACTGGGCTTTCCCCAGTAAAAACTGGACTGGTCATTCGTGGAAAAACAAACATGTTTACCGCCGTCTCCATTTCAGACGACACCACTCCTGTAATGAGAAAAATTCTTAACGACTTCTACCTCGGTTTGGAAAGGCAATATTGGTCATTAGTCAGATCTCTCAATGAATGGACAATGGAATCCTTAAGTTTCAATGCTGGCGGGTATTCTCACATTTGACACCCATGAAAAACATTTTTTCTTACATTTATCAGATAGGCAAATCGTATATTCATGATTATTATAATAGTTTTTCATATTTCTTTAGTGCACGTAGAACTCATTGAATTAAACAATATACTTATTCGTCTATCAATGAATAAACATGCGGTTAATCTTCCACGAAGTCCTTCCATGATGCATAAATTTTGTTAATCGAGACTTTGTATATTATTCATTTTTTGTCTTATTATTCAATCTCTCCAACAAATGCCAGCAGCTTATAAAAATAAGTACTCACAAAACGTAAATTTAGCTGTCCATTAGTGCTTAAAAATCTGACGGTTAACAAATTTCGGTGCTACGGCCTGTCA